AGTAAAGGTTGGATGCGAAAAGTGGGTCATAATAAGCGTGTATGCACCTGGAGAAGAGAGGAATGCAGAGAGAGAGAGATTTTGGGAGATGTTAAGTGAATGTATAGGAGCCTTTGAACCAAGTGAGAGAGTAATTGTGGTAGGGGACCTGAATGCTAAAGTAGGAGAAACTTTTAGAGAGGGCGTGGTAGGTAAGTTTGGGGTGCCAGGTGTATATGATAATGGGAGCCCCTTGATTGAACTTTGTATAGAAAGGGGTTTAGTTATAGGTAATACATATTTTAAGAAAAAGAGGATAAGTAAGTATACAAGATATGATGTAGGGCGAAATGACAGTAGTTTGTTGGATTATGTATTGGTAGATAAAAGACTGTTGAGTAGACTTCAGGATGTACATGTTTATAGAGGGGCCACAGATATATCAGATCACTTTCTAGTTGTAGCTACACTGAGAGTAAAAGGTAGATGGGATACAAGGAGAATAGAAGCATCAGGGAAGAGAGAGGTGAAGGTTTATAAACTAAAAGAGGAGGCAGTTAGGGTAAGATATAAACAGCTATTGGAGGATAGATGGGCTAATGAGAGCATAGGCAATGGGGTCAAAGAGGTATGGGGGTAGGTTTAAAAATGTAGTGTTAGTGTGTTCAGCAGAGGTTTGTGGTTACAGGAAAGTGGGTGCGGGAGGGAAGAGGAGCGATTGGTGGAATGATGATGTAAAGAAAGTAGTAAGGGAGAAAAAGTTAGCATACGAGAAGTTTTTACAAAGTAGAAGTGATGCAAGGAGGGAAGAGTATATGGAGAAAAAGAGAGAGGTTAAGAGAGTGGTGAAGCAATGTAAAAAGAGAGCAAATGAGAGAGTGGGTGAGATGTTATCAACAAATTTTGTTGAAAATAAGAAAAAGTTTTGGAGTGAGATTAACAAGTTAAGGAAGCCTAGAGAACAAATGGATTTGTCAGTTAAAAATAGGAGAGGAGAGTTATTAAATGGAGAGTTAGAGGTATTGGGAAGATGGAGGGAATATTTTGAGGAATTGTTAAATGTTGATGAAGATAGGGAAGCTGTGATTTCGTGTACAGGGCGAGGAGGAATAACATCTTGTAGGAGTGAGGAAGAGCCAGTTGTGAGTGTGGGGAAGGTAGTAGGTAAAATGAAAGGGGGTAAGGCAGCCGGGATTGATGGGATAAAGATAGAAATGTTAAAAGCAGGTGGGGATATAGTTTTGGAGTGGTTGGTGCAATTATTTAATAAATGTACGGAAGAGGGTAAGGTACTTAGGGATTGGCAGAGAGTATGCAGAGTTCCTTTGTACAAAGGCAAAGGGGACAAAAGAGTGCAAAAATTATAGGGGGATAAGTCTGTTGAGTATACCTGGTAAAGTGTATGGTAGAGTTATTATTGAAAGAATTAAGAGTAAGACAGAGAATAGGATAGCAGATGAACAAGGAGGCTTTAGGAAAGGTAGGGGGTGTGTGGACCAGGTGTTTACAGTGAAACATATAAGTGAACAGTATTTAGATAAGGCTAAAGAGGTCTTTGTGGCATTTATGGATTTGGAAAAGGCATATGACAGGGTGGATAGGGGGGCAATGTGGCAGATGTTGCAGGTGTATGGTGTAGGAGGTAGGTTACTGAAAGCAGTGAAGAGATTTTACGAGGATAGTGAGGCTCAAGTTAGAGAATGTAGGAAAGAGGGAAATTATTTCCCAGTAAAAGTAGGCCTTAGACAAGGATGTGTGATGTCACCGTGGTTGTTTAATATATTTATAGATGGGGTTGTAAGAGAAGTAAATGCGAGGGTCTTGGCAAGAGGCATGGAGTTAAAAGATAAAGAATCACACAAAGCGGGAGTTGTCACAGTTGCTCTTTGCTGATGACACTGTGCTCTTGGGAGATTCTGAAGAGAAGTTGCAGAGATTGGTGGATGAATTTGGTAGGGTGTGCAAAAGAAGAAAATTAAAAGTGAATACAGGAAAGAGTAAGGTTATGAGGATAACAAAAAGATTAGGTGATGAAAGATTGGATATCAGATTGGAGGGAGAGAGTATGGAGGAGGTGAATGTATTCAGATATTTGGGAGTGGACGTGTCAGCGGATGGGGATGGGTCTATGAAAGATGAGGTGAATCATAGAATTGATGAGGGAAAAAGGGTGAGTGGTGCACTTAGGAGTCTGTGGAGACAAAGAACTTTGTCCTTGGAGGCAAAGAGGGGAATGTATGAGAGTATAGTTTTACCAACACTCTTATATGGGTGTGAAGCATGGGTGATGAATGTTGCAGCGAGGAGAAGGCTGGAGGCAGTGGAGATGTCATGTCTGAGGGCAATGTGTGGTGTGAATATAATGCAGAGAATTCGTAGTTTGGAAGTTAGGAGGAGGTGCGGGATTACCAAAACTGTTGTCCAGAGGGCTGAGGAAGGGTTGTTGAGGCGGTTCGGACATGTAGAGAGAATGGAGCGAAACAGAGTGACTTCAAGAGTGTATCAGTCTGTAGTGGAAGGAAGGCGGGGTAGGGGTCGGCCTAGGAAAGGTTGGAGGGAGGGGAGTGAAGGAGGTTTTGTGTGCGAGGGGCTTGGACTTCCAGCAGGCATGCGTGAACATGTTTGATAGGAGTGAATGGAGACAAATGGTTTTTAATACTTGACGTGCTGTTGGAGTGTGAGCAAAGTAACATTTATGAAGGGGCTCAGGGAAACCGGCAGGCCGGACTCGAGTCCTGGAGATGGGAAGTACAGTGCCTGCACTCTGAAGGAGGGGTGTTAATGCTGCAGTCTAAAAACTGTAGTGTAAAGCACCCTTCTGGCAAGACAGTGATGGAGTGAATGATGGTGAAAGTTTTTCTTTTTCGGGCCACCCTGCATTGGTGGGAATCGGCCAGTGTGATAATAAAAAAAAAAATATTAGGCTAATATCAACACTACAGCTAATTTGAGTATCACAATTGATCTAATATGAAATAATAAACAATATAAATAACATAAAACATGTTAAATACTCCAGAATAAATATTTGACATAACACTGAGCAGTTCGACAGAGGTATGAAGAGGATATGGTATACAAATACCTTTCTCCTATCCCTGTCTTGGGGACTTATACTAGGGAAAACAGAGTATAGCACAGGGTTAACTGTGACATACACTTGTACTGCACCATAAACCTGAAACAAAAAAGTTATTTTCTCCATATAGATTATCACACACACAGCAGCATATGTGCAGAGAACCTAGGATAACCGAAAAAAGTCAATGTGGGTAATTTCTAGTACCTGGCTTGGGTTAGCCAGGGTAGAAACATTAGGCGTGTTTCTTTACACCTGTTGTTTACGTTTACCCATCAGCAAATGGGTACCTGGGTGTTAGCCAACTAGTGTGGGTGTTATCCTGGGACACTGACCTAATTTTCTTGAAATACACTGCATAACAAGCAGCTTTCTATATAGTAGTATGTCACTGATGTCAGCTAGGCCTGTACACCTTGTACATGTACGTGTAGTAAATAAAGATATTATTATTATATTATTTTCTCAGTTGTTTGTTAGGTTATCTTACTGAAACTTGGGCAATGTATGATGGAAAGACACTTCTTAATGTACACCAAAAATGAAAGAAATCAGACCATAAATAGCAGAGTTCACTTCTCAGCCATTAGCGGCCGCTTAGCGGTATATTTTTGTATGGTTTTTATGGTTACATTCTCATTTTTTCGGTCTCATTTGATAGAATGAAAGCTATATTACAGAAATAGATATGATTTTGATTGCTTTCATGACAAAAAGTACCATGAAATTGCACTCACAGTAGCGAAAATCTTCTATTCTTTAGCGAAGTTCAAGAGTAAACAAATGACGTCACCGTCCAGTACCTGTCCGCCTGCCAGTCCAAATTCCAATACGCAGTCAAGAATGGGTTGACATTATTTATACAATTATTACAATAATGCAGCAGTCTGCAAAACAGTAAATCTTCTATTTTTTTGCAAATAAAAATTCCAAATGGTAAGCAAGAGTAATATAAGAGGGGCCTGTAGCTGTGACTAATGAACAGAGAAAATGTTATTTTAGTGCCAGGAATGTCTACATTGTTTATTCTGGACCCTATATTGAAATTGGCATCAGTTGAAATTTGTGTGAAATTGGCCAAATTGCCAATTTCTGACCACTTTATTGGGTAGTTGAAATAAGTGAATGGGTGGTTTCTTGTACTCGGTTAACAGACTAGAAGTAAATAAGTTTATTCAGGTATACACAAATACAGTTACACAGATTATCATACATAGCGGTGTATGTATAGAGAACCTAGGATAACCCAAAAAAGTCAAAGTGACTTATTTCCAGTACCTGGCTTGGGCTTGCCATATACGATTTTTGGTAAATATTTTTTTTTCTCGGTTGTTTGTTGGGCTATCTCATTAAAACTTGGGCAATGTATGATGGAAAGATGCTTCTTAACGTACAACAAAAATAAAAAAGACGGACGATAAATAAGGGAGTTCACTTCTCAGCCATTAGCCGCCTCTTTGCAGTATATTTTCGTATGGTTTTTATGGTTGTATTCTCATTTTTTTGGACTCATTTGATAGAATGGAAGATATATTACAGAAATAAATGATTCTGATTGTTTTCATGACGAAAAGTACCTTGAAATTGAGCTCAAAGGAGCGGAAATGTTCGGTTTTTGCCGATGTTCAATGAACTTTATGTAAGTCAAGTTGGTTAATTTTATTAAGTGTATTCTAACCTAACCACTCTGTAATCTGGCAAACTCAGTAATCCAGCACACTACAGGTCCCAATGATGCCGGATTTGTGATGGAGGACCTGTATCAAAGTTTATCATAGGCTTGAGAATATTCCTGTGGAACAACTGCTAGCAGGATACTTTTTCTTAATAACACACAGTGCTCTAATCTAACACTTGCATCCTCCTTACCCTATTACTTTCCATGGGTGGATAGGATCTCTTTGAAACTGACCTCCCAAACAGATTTAAGAGCTCTACTTACAGCAGGTACTGCATCAGCAGTTTCCTCATCTTTGTCTTGTCCTTCAGGCTTGTGCTCAGTATCTTGTAGGCTTTGCTCAAATGCTTCTCCCAATGGCCGTCGCCGTAGATTTACAGTGACAGTAACAATTGCACCAGCAGTAAAAACTCCACTATCGTCGTCATCAACAACTGCCAAAATAAGACTAGGACGTTTAATTAATGAGATACAATTAATGAATTCAACAATTCATTAAATTCAGCAATAATGTGCTCCTAGAAAATATTACAAAATTTAAAACAGCAATAATGTGCTCCTAGAAAATATTACAAAATTTAAAACAAATATTAAGGCAAATATGAAGGCAAAGAAGGGAATGTATGAGAATATGTGGTACCAAGATGGTGGGTGTGAAGCATGGGTTGTGAAGGCTGCAGTAAGACAGAGCTGGAGTCAGTGGAGATGGCATGTCTAAGGGCAATGTGTGGTGTAAATACGTATTATGAAAAATTCATAGTATGGAAATTAGGAGGTGTAGTTACAAAAAGTATTATTCAGAGGGCTGAAGAGGGATTGTTGAGGTGGTTTGATCATTTAGAGAGGACGGAGCAAAAGAGGATGACTGAGGGTGTATAAATCTGTAGTGGAGGGGAGGAGGAGTTGGGTTGTCCTAGAAAAGGATGGAGGTAGGGGGTGAAATAGGTTTTGTGTGCAAGGGGCTTGGACACACAGCAGGCATGTGTGAGCGTGTTAGATAGGAGTGAATGGAGACGAATGGTTTTTGAGACTTGAGTTGTTAGTGTGAGCAGGGTAGTATTTTGTGAAGGGATTCAGGGAAATTAGTTAGCTAGACTTAATGCCTGCACTTCAAAGGAAGATTTTGGGATATTTGCTGTTCGGATTGACATCTGAACTACTATATCTGCATGCCTCTACAAAGACAGTGATTATGTGTAAATGATGGTGAAAGTGTTTCTTTTTAAGGGCCACCCTGCCTCGGTGGGAGACCGCTGGCACGCTAAGGAAAAAATATTAAGGTATATAATAAATGACACACAATGCAACTACAAACACAAGCAATATGATCAGTGTACAATATACATTACACTAAGTAATAAGTTAATATGTACCATTACTCAAATACAGTCAAAAATAGGAAGGACAAGACAAAGAATAGCAGAAATAAAAAGTTGGAAAGAAAAAAAAAAAAAAATTGAGACAAGGTTGTAAAAAACTGCAATACTGATAGGATTCTTTAACCTCTTTGTTGAATGAGTAGTAACACACATTCACCATTATTCATTTGACTACTGCCCTGCAAGAAATGTGCTGACATCTCAATTAAGACTGCCCTGAGATAGCACTAAACCTTTTCCCTCCTTCAGAGTGCAGGCACTGCCCTTCTCACCTAAAGATACATTAACAATATAGTCTCACCTTCATAGTTGACATTCATTTCCACCTTTGGCATCTTCCTACAGGCTATCATGACTTCGCTGAATTGTTCCTCTGAGAGAGAGCGTAAAACATGGTGCCTCTCAGTAGAAGAGAGAGATAAAAGTTGCTCAATTGTCTTCACCGGTCTTCGTTTACTTACAAAATGCCTGTCAGGAAAGGTAACAAATTAATGATCTAAAATGTATATTACAATGTACAGGTGCTCCTTGCTTTACAATGATTTGACTTACGATATTTTGACTTTACTACCTCCTTTAAATCGTTCCTTTGTTCTAGCACTATGAAAAACTTTCTAGCATCCCTTAAGCTCTTTTCCTCTCTTAAATGATGGTGCTAGAAATCTTCCTTATTATTTATTTAATTTATTTTACAGCTTCAGCCATATCCCACCAAAGTAGGGAGACTTAATAAAAAAAAAAAAAAAAAAAAAAAAAAAAAAAGGAAACATCTCACCACTATTCATTTAATACCCATCTTGCCAAACATTACATCTAAAATGATCCTTTAGCAACCCTATCTCTCCTTCAGAGTAGAAACCTTGTATTTCTTACCTCCAGGATTAAGTCCACCTTACCAATTTTTTCTGAATTCCTTCATAACTGTTCCCTCTGTCACACTCCAGCACCAATTCAAATCCCTAAAAACCACCTGTCTCCACTCACTCCAACCTTTCTCACACACAAGCCTGCTGGATGCTCAGGCTCCTACACCTTAAACCTCCTTCACACCCTCCCTCCAACCCTTCCTGGGATGACCTCTAGCTCTCCTTCCTCTCTGGATTTATATATACTGCTACATCCTCTCTAAATGCCCAGACCACCTCAACATTTTCTCCTCTGCCCTATGAATAATATTTTTCATAACCCCATGCTCTCTTATAATTTCTACACTCTGAATTCTCTGTATAATATCCATACATTACATTGCTCTCTCATCACTGTCTCTAGCCTCCACTTCCTTGCTGGAATATTTAAACTCATGCTTCTCCCTCACACATAGTGTTGGTACTATAATGTGTGATGTTAGTACTACTGGCTTGTAATGTTTTTTTTTTGTCAGATCTGGTGCCTCCTTTGTGCAGGGGAGCTGTGTGTGCACTTTCTAAGGCTCTGGGCTCTCACCTAGATCTAAGCTCATCCACCATTTAATACCTAGTTATCATCTTAATTGTACTTCGAATTCTTTGTGTTCCATGAAAGAAGCCCTGGTACTGCACATGGGTGCAGGTTTGCTATTTCCTTTTCAAATTCTGCAGACTGTTGCTTACATTAATATAGATTTATAGATTGAACATGAGTAATAAAAACCATCTGAAAACTAAACCCTCTTTCCTTCTAGTAGAATAATGATAAATACTGTTCTTTAACCCCTAAACTGTCCAAACATAGATCTAAGTTCACGTGCTTAGCACTCCGAACGCAGATTTACGTTTTTTTTAAATAAGAAAGCATGTAAAATAGAAAGTTCGGAGCTCTATGTACGTGAATGTGGATCTACGTTTGGACAGTTTAAGGGTTAAAAATTTCATTCATTTCTTTTTGTTATTGGTGTATGAACCTCCTGAGGTATTTTTCTGCTAAGATTTTGCCTATGTGTAATAATATATCTGCCTAGTGCACTTCCCCCACATCCACCTCTAGCTCATCCTTACTCCAAAAAGATATGCCTCCCTATCCAATGCATAATCACACTGGCTTTCTTTCATTATCCAAAACAAGAACAAACATAAAAGCTTACAAACACAAAAAGATGCATGCACATTAGAGGGGTGCAGCCAGTAACTAGGACTTAACTACATATTTTTGTTTTTTTAACATGCTGGCCATCTCCCACTGAAATAGGGTGGCAAAAAAAACTTTCACCATCATTCACACATATCACTGTCTCTTCAGTTGCATGCAGTTCAGTTGTCACTCCACCTACACGAGTGCACAAATATAATAAAAATAGCTGTCTTCCTTGAAGTGCTTAGACATCACAGTTTAAATGACCCCTCTGAACTACATCATCACTACCCCTCCTTCAGAGTAAAGGCTCTGTACTTTAGACCTTCAGGAATCAAGTCCAGCTTACCAGTTTTCCCCCGAATACCTTCATAAATGTTCCTTTTCTCACACTCCAGAAACAACTTGGAAGAGCAGTGAATGCCACAAGCTAAATAAAATTAATTTCATGTGCCACCTTAGGCAAGCATGCCATAGGTTCACCAGCCCAATACTAGACCATATCACAACGTCTTTCAAACAGCTTAAAATATTTTGTAAACATGTTTTGCTATTTGGAAACTAAATTATGTAAAGTGTTGTATCACCCTAATGATTGCTATTTCTTTACCCAGGCAGGGTGACCCAAAGAAAGCACATTTACTATATTTCATTCAATCACTGCTTTTTTTTTCAGCATACTGGCCATCTCCCACCAAAGCAGGGTGACCCAAATAAGAAGAAACAAAAGTTTTCTTCTTTTTACATTTAATAATTTATGCAAAAGGGATTACTAGCCCCATGCTCCCCACATTTTAGTTGCCTCTTACGACAACGTGACTAACAGAGAAAGGATTCTTTTCTACTTCCCCATGGTTATACACAAACAAAAAGTGTAAATCTGTATGCTTTAGTCACCTTAAGGAGTCTTCAGTAATGTGAGGCAGCTGGAGAAGAGGGTTCTTGGAATCCCAGAGAGCCTGCACAATATGTGGGGAGAGTTTCATGCAAGCCTCGATGGTGTCAAGAGACGGGAGTCGAGAGATGCGACCAGCATGGGCTAGCATTATCAGCTGAGAAACACAGGTCACCATCTCCTGGATCAGTATGGGACAGCACCTGCAAAAGTTTTACATTCATAATATGACTGAAATAGCTGATATTTTCTTTAATACACTTACCAAGGAAATACTATACATGCATTAGATATGATCGTGCACATGAAAAGACATTTATTTACAGGTCTCCCTCCACATTCGTAAGGGATAAGGGATCAAGAACCTTGCGAATGTTGAAAAATTGCAAATGCTTGGTGCACAAATATATTGTAGGGAAATATAATATTAGCATTTACTTAGCCTAACAATACTGCTTCCTTAACCTATTGAACCATGAACAATCATAAAACACATGAAAACACTGTAAAATATTGTATTAGTGCCAGCCCTTTAGTAAAGAAGGTGAGAAAGACTATAGAATTCAAGAAAGAACTCATAGCAGAGTACCAAAGTGGAGGAGGAAGAGAGAGGGGAGAATGTGCCTTCTTCAGTGATTCAGTGATTCTTCGATATGTACGATGCTAAAGCAGCACAAGTCGATAAAGGCTATAGCGCCAGCCAGCGATAAAGTGTAGCATTAACACTATAGCAAGAAAGTTAAGCAATTAATCGACAGAAAAAGGACAGCATGGACCTAACTCCTCCAATGTTGTTGGAGTCATATAGAGCAACTGACAACACCGCCATCTCTGCTGCCTCTGCTACCACCTCACATAATGAAGGCTTATGCTCTCAATGGCCCTTATACACCCAACAACAGTACAGCAACACTCGTGGCATACTTAATGATGTATTTTATTCATTCTAGAGCATATGTCACGTTTCTATGTTATTAATATTGTTTATTATGTCATATGAGATGAATTGTGATAGATAAATAAGCCATGGAGTTGATATTAGTGTCATATTGAAGGACTATCTTGTCCTATCTCCAAACAAACTCTGCCACTGCCACAATTCCTAACATATGTAATGACATATTTTAAATATGATTGGGCAGCTGGGAATTCACGAATGTTCGAAGCCCACGAAAGTGGAAAACGCGAATGCTGAGGGGGACCTGTACATTGTTTTCACGTTCACGATCTGGTTACAATTATAACGAGTTGTTTATGCTGTGAATTCAATCCCAAATCATAAAAATGTATATACAGTGGAACCTTGACTTGTGAGTGTCCCAACATACGAGTTTTTTGAGATACGAGCCGTCCCTGGGTCGATTTTTTGCTCTGAGTTACAAGCCAGCTCCCCCTGCTTCCCCTCTCAACCCAAAACCTGGACACCTCGTTTGTTTATCTATGATTTCATCCTTTAATTCCATGGAAATCATCTTTTTTTTTCTCAGCACTGTCCTTTACACTTACTTTCTTAGGACCCATGCTAAGAAAAACAAAATTTGGCCAAATGGCTGTCAAAAATGTAAGCAAAGCATGAGAGAACTGCTCCCACAGCAAGGTAAACAGTGCATTGAGTTGGCAGCATTCGTTATAATAATAATATTTTTTTTCAACAAACCGCCCATATCCCACCAAGGCAGGTTGGCCCAAAAAGAAAAACAAAAGTTTCTCCTTTTAAATTTAGTAATTTATACGGGAGAAGGGGTTACTAGCCCCTTGCTCCCAGCATTTTAGTCACCTCTTACTACATGCATGGCTTACGGAGGAAGAATTCTGTTCCACTTCCCCATGGAGATAAGAGGAAATAAACAAGAACAAGAACTAGAAAGAAAATAGAAGAAAACCCAGAGGGGTGTGTATATATATGCTTGTACATGTATGTGTAGTTTGACCTAAGTGTAAGATGTAGTAGCAAGACGTACCTGTAATCTTGCATATTTATGAGACAGACAAAAGACACCAGCAATCCTACCATCATGTAATACAATCACAGGCTTTCGTTTTACACTCGCTTGGCAGGACGGTAGTACCTTCCTGGGTGGTTGCTGTCTACCAACCTACTACCTAAAATAATAATAATCTTCTTTCTTTCAACGCACCTGCCATATCCCACTGAGGTGGGGTAGCCCAAAAGGAAAAACGAAAGTTTCGCCTTTTAAATTTAGTAATACATACAGGAGAAGGGGTTACTAGCCCCTTGCTCCCAGCATTTTAGACGCCTCTTACGACACGCATGGCTTACGGGAAGGAGTTCTATTCCACTTCCCCATGGAGTTAAGAGGAAATAGACAAGAACAAGAACTAGAAAGAAAACTAGAAGAAAACCCAGAGGGGTATGTATATACGTATATGCTTATACATGTATGTGCAGTGTGACCTAAGTGTAAGAAGAAGTAGCAAGTAGTACCTGAAATCTTGCATGTTTATGAAACAGAAAAAAGGACACCAGCAATCCTACCATCATGTAAAACAATTACAGGTTTTCGTTTTACACTCACTTGGCAGGACGGTAGTACCTCCCTGGGCGGTTGCTGTCTACCAACCTACTACCTATAATAATAATAAGATTAATAATTATTATTACTACTAGTATTTTTATTGTTTTTATTAGTATTATTATTTTTATTAATTTAGGTAACTAGAGCACAGATCCAATTCCCTAGATCAAGAGCCCCTCACCAGCATCAAGGTTCCGTGACGCTGGTTAGGGGTTCTTGATCTAGGGAATTGAATCTGTGCTCCAGTTCACTAAATTTATGATAATAATATTATATATAATAATAACAATGATAAGAGCTACAGTTCCCTAAATTAATAATAATAATAATTATTATAATGATATAGCTTCAGTTTTCTAAATTAATAATAATAAAACATAATAATTTAGAATGCTGCTGCTAGTTGGCACAGCTGATGCCAAATCATCTGGTAAGCAGTACATATGTTTACATCACTGTGGGAGCAGTTCTCTCATACTTGCTTGCATTTTTTCACAGTCATTTAGCCAAATTTCTTTTTTCTAACCATGGGTCCTAAGAAAATAAGTGCAAAGGACAGTGCTGAGAAGAAAATGAGGATGATTTTCATGAACTTAGCCATGCAATACCAGCTTAGTATATCTACGATACATAGATACTAAAGTTGTATCAGTTATGTTCAGTGATTAAACAAAACGTTGTATCAGTTTAGTTCAGCGATCAAACAAAACAATGTTGTTGGTTTACAAGGCCACTGACATCACATGCCACACCCTCAACATAACATCCCCCACCATCTCTGCTCCAAGTGTGTAAATACATACACACTTTATATAAAGTTTAGTATTTCTTTACATTCTGTAGTGTACAGTGGACCCCCGCATAGCGATATTAATCCATGCAAGAGAGCTCATTGTTATGCGAAATTATCGTTATGCGAATGAATTTTCCCCATAAGAAATAATGGAAATCAAATTAATCCGGGCAAGACACCCGAAAGTATGAAAAAAAAAATTTTACCACATGAAATATACATTTTCCTACACACAAAGAGAAGGATACATGCACAATATTAAAAGAGTAGTACATGCACAAGTATATATTGCTATGTCATGTACTACTCTACTAAATGAAGAATAAATGACACTTACCTTTATTGAAGATGCAGCAATGACTGATGAGACACTGTGTCCTGGGAGTGCCTTTTCCTCCTGAGTACTGCAGATCCTGTTTGGCATTTTCTTCCAGAACAGGCCTTATCACACTGTGTATGTCACTACGATTCTTAAATCTCTCAAACCAACCTTTGCTGGCTTTAAATTCACCAATATGAGGCACTAGTTCCAGGCATTTTTCCCTGTTCACCTGGGTGTTATTCGACTGGTGTGGGTTGCATCCTGGGAGACAAGATTAAGGACCCCAATGGAAATAAGTTAGACAGTCTTCGATGACACTGGCTTTTTTGGGTTATCCTGGGTGGCAAATCCTCTGGGGTTAATTGTTTCTTGGTATTCTCAATAAGCCACACCAACAATGGTGCTACAGCAGCAGCGCAGCAGCTGACAGTGCTACAGCAGCAGCAGACGATGCTACAGCAGCAGCTGACGGTGGTACAGCAGCAGCAAGCAGCAGCAGCTGACGGTGGTACAGCAGCAGCAGCAGCAGCTGACAGTGCTACAGCAGCAAGCAGACAATGCTACAGCAGCAGCAGACGAGCTGACGGTGGTACAGCGCAGCAGCAGCTGACAGTGTACAGCAGCAGCAGACGATGCTACAGCCAGCAGCAGACGATGTTACAGCAGCAGCAGCAGCACAGCAGCTGAAGTGCTACAGCAGCAGCAGACGGTGCTACAGCTCACAGCAGCCAGCAGCTAGACGTCGGAGCTACGCATCAGCAGCAGCAGCTGACGGTGCTACAGCAGCAGCAGACGATGCTACAGCAGCAGCAGACGATGCTACAGCAGCAGCAGACGATGCTACAGCAGCAGCAGACGATGCTAACAGCAGCAGCAGACGATGCTACAGCAGCAGCAGACGGTACTACAGCAGCAGAAGACGGTACTACAGCAGCAGCAGACGGTACTACAACAGCAGCAGCACAGCAGCTGACAGTGGTACAACAGCAGCAGACGATGCTACAGCAGCAGCAGACGGTACTACAGCAGCAGCAGCAGCTGACGGTGTACAGCAGCAGCAGCTGTACCACCAATAGTAGCGATGGTTGATTGGGGTTTATTATACAACCTGGCCAGCTCAGAGACACGCACTCCACTTTCATACTTATCAATGATCTTTTTCTTCATCTCTATAGTAATTCTCACCCTTATTGCTGTAGGGTTGGCACTAGAAGCTTTCTTGGGGCCCATGGTCACTTATTTTGCAGATAAAATCACCAAAAACACTGTAATACAGTGGACCCCCGCATACCGATTTTAATCCGTGCAAGAGGGCTCATTGGTATGCGAAATAATCGGAATGCGAATGAATTTTCCCCATAAGAAATAATGGAAATCAAATTAATCCGTGCAAGACACCCAAAAGTATGAAAAAAAAAATTTTACCACGTGAAATATACATTTTCCTACACACAAAGAGAAGGATACATGCACAATAGTAGAGTAGTACATGCACAGTATATATTGTGCATGTACTAGTCTACTAAATGAAGAATAAATGACACTTACCTTTATTGAAGATGCAGCAATGACTGATGAGACACTGTGTCCTGGGAGTGCTTTTCCTCCTGAGTACTGTAGGTCCTGTTTGGTATTTTCTTCCAGAACATGCCTTATCACACTGTGTATGTCACTAACGATTCTTAAATCTCTCAAACCAACCTTTGCTGGCTTTAAATTCACCAATATGAGCACTAGTTCCAGGCATGTTTGTCCCTGTTCACCTGGGTGTTAGTCGACTGGTGTGGTTGCATCCTGGGAGACAAGATTAAGGACCCCAATGTGAAATAAGTTAGACAGTCTTCGATGACACTGACTTTTTGGGTTATCCTGGGTGGCAAATCCTCTGGGGTTAATTGTTTCTTGGTATTCTCAATAAGCCACACCAACAACAGTGCTACAGCAGCAGCAGCAGCAGCTGACAGTGCTACAGCAGCAGCAGACGTGCTACAGCAGCAGCAGACGGTGCTACAGCAGCAGCAGACGGTGCTAAACCAGCAGCAGCAGAACGATGCTACAAGCAGCAGGCAGCAGCTGACAGTGCTACAGCAGCAGCAGACGATGCTACAGCAGCAGCCAGCATGATGCTACAGCAGCAGCAGATGATGCTACAGCAGCCAAGACAGCAGACGATAGCTACAGCAGCAGCAGACGATGCTACAGCAGCAGCAGACGATGCTACAGCAGCAGCAGCAGACGATGCTACAGCAGCAGCAGCAGACGATGCTACAGCAGCAGCAGCAGCAGCAGACGATGCTACAGACAGCAGCAGCACTGACAGTGCTACAGCAGCAGCAGCACTGATGTGCTACAGCAGCAGCAGACGGATGCTACAGCAGCAGCAGACGATGCTACAGCAGCAGCAGCAGCAGACAGCGATGCTACAGCAGCAGCAGCAGCAGACGATGCTACAGCAGCAGCAGCAGCAGACGATTGCTACAGCAGCAGCAGACGATGCTACAGCAGCAGCAGCAACGATGCTACAGCAGCAGAGCAGCAGCAGACGATGCTACAGCAGCAGGGACGATGCTACAGCAGTAGCAGCAGCTGACAGTGCTACAGCAGCAGCAGACGAGTGCTACAGCAGCAGCAGACGATGCTACAGCAGCAGCAGCAGCTGACAGTGCTACAGCAGCAGCAGACGATGCTACAGCAGCAGCAGACGATGCTACAGCAGCAGACAGCAGCAGCAGCTGTTACCACCAATAGTAGCGATGGTTGATTGGGGTTTATTATACAACCTGGCCAGCTTGGAGACACGCACTCCACTTTCATACTTATCAATGATCTTTTTCTTCATCTCTATAGTAATTCTCACCCTTATTGCTGTAGGGTTGGCACTAGAAGCTTTCTTGGGGCCCATGGTCACTTATTTTCCAGATAAAATCACCAAAAACACTGTAATAATACGAAATGTTACGATTGTATGCTTGGATGCTACCGCGGAGGCTGGCTGGTAAACAATGCCACCGGCGGAACATGTGAGGCTAGCTAAGGCGCACATTGGATGCGTCTCGGATGAACAGCGGTGAGCGGGTTTTTAAGCGGTATGCGAGGCAAAATTTTTGCGATTAAAGCAAGCGGTATGCGGATTAATCGTTATGTGATGCCAACGGTATGCGGGGGTCCACTGTAATACGAAATGTTCCGATTGTATGCTTGGATGTTACCGCGGAGGCTGGCTGGTAAACAATGCCACCGGCGGAACATGTGAGGCTGGCTAAGGGCGCACATTAGACGCGTCTCGGACGAACAGCGTTGAGCGGGTTTTTTAGCGGTATGCGAGGCAAAATCTTGGCGATAAAATGTAGCGGTATGCGGATTTAACGTTATGCAAGGCCAACGGTATGCGGGGGTCCACTGTATTATGTTTTATGTTTTTATATACGATATGTCTGCAGTTAGCCTCACAAATACTCCACTTTCTCTTACAATAAAAGCATGGGAAGATATTACAGTGGACCCCCGGTTTGCGATGCCATCGGTATCCAATAAATCCGGTATTCGATACATTTTAACGCAAAATTTTTGCCTCGGTTCCCATTAAAAAACCCGGTATATGATTCATCCGAGACGTGTCCACGTGTGTGCCAGTGTTTACAAGCCAGCCAGTGTGCTCGCATCTAAGGATACATTCGGTACATTCCATATTATCAGTGTTTTTGGTGCTTGTTTCTGCAAAATAAGTCACCATGGGCCCCAAGAAAGCTTCTAGTGCCAACCCTTCGAGAAAAAGGGTGCTAATGACTATTGAAATGAAGAAAGAGATAACTGAAAAGTACTATGTCGGAGCTGGCCAGGTTGTACACAAAACCCCAATCAACCATCTCTACTATAGTGACCAGGAAAACGGCAATCAAGGAAGCTGTTGTTGCAAAAGGTGCAACTGTGATTACAAAACAGCGACCGCAAGTGTTAGAAGATGTTGAGACTGTTATTGGTGTGAATAAATGAAAAACAGATAGCAGGAGATAGCATCTCTCAAGCGATCATTTGTGAAAAGGCTAGGCAGTTGCATGATGATTTGGTAAAGAAATTGCCTGCAACTAGTGGTGATGTGAGTGAATTTAAGGCCAGCAAAGGTTGGTTTGAAAGATTTAAGAATCGTAGTGGCATACATAGTGTGATTAGGCATGGTGAGGCTGCCAGTGACTCAAGCTGGTCCTAGTGGCATTAAAAGAAGGGAAGTAACCCCAGAAAAGGACTTGCTACCTCAAGTCCTATTGGAAGGGGATTCCCCTTCTAAACAATAAGTTTGACTCTCCCCTCCTCCCATCCCATCAATCATCACCAGATCTTCATTAAAGGTAAGTGTCATGTATTCTATTGTTAGTAGAGTACTACAAACTGTGCATGTCTTCTTCAGTTTGTGTGCATTAAACTTAATATTTCATGTGGTAAAAAATTTTTTTCATACTTTTGGGTGTCTTGCACGGATTAATTTGATTTCCATTATTTCTTATGGGGAAAATTGATTCGCTTTTCGATAATTTTGGTTTACGATGAGCTCTCAGGAACGGATTAATATCGCAAACCGGGGGTCCACTGTATAGTCAAACTTGGACAGAAAATGGCGGACGCTTCTGCCGCTGCCTCTGCCACCATATTATGGCCTGTTTTATTCATTCTAGAGTATATATCATGTTTCTGCGTTAATTATATTGTTTATTATATCATATTAGATGAACTGTGATAGATAAATAAGCCGTACAGTTGATATTATCATCATATTCAAGTACAGTGGACCCCCGGTTAACGATATTTTTTCACTCCAGAAGTATGTTCAGGTGCCAGTACTGACCGAATTTGTTCCCATAAGGAATATTGTGAAGTAGATTAGTCCATTTCAGACCCCCAAACATACACGTACAAACGCACTTACATAAATACACTTACATAATTGGTCGCATTCGGAGGTGATCGTTATGCGGGGGTCCACTGTATTTTGTCTTGTCTCCAGAGTGCAGGTACAGATTAATGGCTTTTCAATTAATTTAAATGAGGAAAATCGATTTGATATACGAGTAAATTGAGTTATGAGCTAGGTCACGGAACGGATTAAACTCTTAAGTCAAGGTTCCACTGTAGTTTGTTACTACTGTAGCTTGCTTAACTATCAAAACTTGGGGCCTCAGTCACCGACTATCAACCACACAATTGTTTGTTGGATACATAATAAAACCTTTAACCCTAAAACTGTCCAAACGTAGATCTACGTTTTTTCAACGTTTGAAAGTATGTAAAAAAAAACAACTTTTTTTTTTACATTTGAAAACATGTAAAAAACTTGATCTACGTTTTTTTGTTATATTTGAAAATATGTAAAAAAAAGTAGATCTACTTTTGGAGCGCTACACATGTGAACGTAGATCTGTTTGGACAGTTTAAGGGTTAAACAAAACTACATTGTTTACCTTTTCCTGCCACTATCATTAACATTATCACTCGCATGTGTATTATCTGTGGTACAGTATGATAACTTTCAGTAATATCAAATAATGCACTTTTATAATATCAAGTAGAGTACGTTCATGTCAATATAAAATAAAATGAATTATTATAATCCTCCTCTAAATCATTTACTAAACAAAAAAAAAATTAAATAATTCATGCACTTGTAAAGACAGTAATGGGAAAGCTTGCAACGTTTTGTGAACGACCATGCAAATTTGAAGCTAATATTCTAAAATAATGTTAATTAATACAGAGGCCACACCAAGGCTTGCCTGACCAGCCAGGTTGTGGCTTGTACATTGGATGGATTATGGCTAGCAGTAACAGCCTGGTTGATCAGGCCTTGATCCACTCAATTTTATCAGCAAATTTACTTAAAAGCCTTTAAAGGGATACCTGACAATATCCTCACTGCTCAACTTAAGCCTACCATCTCTGGCTGACAGATTTCAATACCACGTATGACCCCTCATCCTATACGATAGAAAATGACACACACCTAACTGGCTTTTGTTCTCACTGTGTGACTATCAAAGAATGGAAGTATGATGTATAAAAAATAATAGTAATAATAAAATTTAAATAATAATAATAAAGGCCCTAGCCCCATCTTCCAACCAGGCTGTCACTCCTATATGAAACTTCTACTACAGCCATCCCTGACTAGCTAGCATTATGAGGCACAGTTGAGGTAACAAATACATGACACCAACTTTACAATGTAGAGACGATCTTGATCCAGTGTGGCATCTGGCAGCTTCATGCGAGAGAGGTGTGCGTGCAACAATGAGCGAGCCTTCATGGAATAAGCAAAGCACAGGGGACGCTCCTTGTTCTTCTCTCCAAGATTAGGTAGCTGTTTGATTAACTGTGGTAGTTCAATATTGTCAGTTGGGCGCTCCTGCAGGGTAAAATTACCTTAAAATGAAATCCATCCACTGTAAGAGGAAATAATAATAATGGAAGAAATCACAATAAAAAGAGTGATTGCAAATATGTAAAAATACCACAGTGAAAAAGGTAATAGGTTGGTAGACAGCAACCGCCCAGGGAGGTACTACCGTCCTGCCAAGTGAGTGTAAAATGAAAGCCTGTAATTGTTTTACATGATGGTAGAATTGCTGGTGTCCATTTTTCTGTCTCATGAACATGCAAGGTTTCAGGTACATCCTGCTACTTCTACTTACACTTAGGTCACATTACACATTTTTTTTTTTTTCAACAAGTCGGCCATCTCCCACCGAGGCAGGGTGACCCAAAAAAGAAAGAAAATCCCCAAAAAGAAAATACTTTCATCTCATTCAACACTTTCACCACACTCACACATTATCACTGTTTTTGCAGAGGTGCTCAGAATACAACAGTTTAGAAGCATATACGTAAAAAGATACACAACATATCCCTCCAAACTGCCAATATCCCAAACCCCTCCTTTAAAGTGCAGGCATTGTACTTCCCATTTCCAGGACTCAAGTCCGACTATATGAAAATAACCGGTTTCCCTGAATCCCTTCACTAAATATTACCCTGCTCACACTCCAACAGATCGTCAGGTCCCAAGTATCATTCATCTCCATTCACTCCTATCTAACACGCTCACGCACGCTTGCTGGAAGTCCAAGCCCCTCGCCCACAAAACCTCCTTTACCCCCTCTCTCCAACCCTTTCGAGGACGGCCCCTACCCCTCCTTCCTTCCCCTATAGATTTATATGCTTTCCATGTCATTCTACTTTGATCCATTCTCTCTAAATGACCAAACCACCTCAACAACCCCTCTTCTGCCCTCTGACTAATGCTTTTATTAACTCCACATCTTCTCCTAATTTCCACACTCCGAATTTTCTGCATAATATTTACACCACACATTGCCCTTAGACAGGACATCTCCACTGCCTCCAACCGTCTCCTCGCTGCTGCATTTACCACCCAAGCTTCACATCCATATAAGAGTGTTGGTACTACTATACTTTCATACATTCCCTTCTTTGCCTCCATAGATAACGTTTTTTGACTCCACATATACCTCAACGCACCACTCACCTTTTTTCCCTCATCAATTCTATGATTAACCTCATCCTTCATAAATCCATCCGCCGACACGTCAACTCCCAAGTTATTTATTATTTTATTATCACACTGGCCGATTCCCACCAAGGCAGGGTGGCCCGAAAAAGAAAAACTTTCACCATCATTCACTCCATCACTGTCTTGCCAGAAGGGTGCTTTACACTACAGTTTTTAAACTGCAACATTAACACCCCTCCTTCAGAGTGCAGGCACTGTACTTCCCATCTCCAGGACTCAAGTCCGGCCTGCCGGTTTCCCTGAATCCCTTCATAAATGTTACTTTGCTCACACTCCAACAGCACGTCAAGTATTAAAAACCATTTGTCTCCATTCACTCCTATCAAACACGCTCACGCATGCCTGCTGGAAGTCCAAGCCCCTCGCACACAAAACCTCCTTTACCCCCTCCCTCCAACCCTTCCTAGGCCGACCCCTACCCCGCCTTCCTTCCACTACAGACTGATACACTCTTGAAGTCATTCTGTTTCGCTCCATTCTCTCTACATGTCCGAACCACCTCAACAACCCTTCCTCAGCCCTCTGGACAACAGTTTTGGTAATCCCGCACCTCCTCCTAACTTCCAAACTACGAATTCTCTGCATTATATTCACACCACACATTGCCCTCAGACATGACATCTCCACTGCCTCCAGCCTTCTCCTCGCTGCAAACATTCATCACCCACGCTTCACACCCATATAAGAGCGTTGGTAAAACTATACTCTCATACATTCCCCTCTTTGCCTCCAGGGACAAAGTTCTTTGTCTCCACAGACTCCTAAGTGCACCACTCACTCTTTTTCCCTCATCAATTCTATGATTCACCTCATCTTTCATAGACCCATCTGCTGACACGTCCACTCCCAAATATCTGAATACGTTCACCTCCTCCATACTCTCTCCCTCCAATCTGATATTCAATCTTTCATCACCCAATCTTTTTGTTATCCTCATAACCTTACTCTTTCCTGTACTCACCTTTAATTTTCTTCTTTTGCACACCCTACCAAATTCATCCACCAATCTCTGCAGCTTCTCTTCAGAATCTCCCAAGAGCACAGTGTCATCAGCAAAGAGCAGCTGTGACAACTCCCACTTTGTGTGTGATTCTTTATCTTTTAACTCCACGCCTCTTGCCAAGACCCTCGCATTTACTTCTCTTACAACCCCATCTATAAATATATTAAACAACCACGGTGACATCACACATCCTTGTCTAAGGCCTACTTTTACTGGGAAAAAATTTCCCTCTTTCCTACATACTCTAACTTGAGCCTCACTATCCTCGTAAAAACTCTTCACTGCTTTCAGTAACCTACCTCCTACACCATACACTTGCAACATCTGCCACATTGCCCCCCTATCCACCCTGTCATACGCCTTTTCCAAATCCATAAATGCCACAAAGACCTCTTTAGCCTTATCTAAATACTGTTCACTTATATGTTTCACTGTAAACACCTGGTCCACACACCCCCTACCTTTCCTCAAGCCTCCTTGTTCATCTGCTATCCTATTCTCCGTCTTACTCTTAATTCTTTCAATTATAACTCTACCATACACTTTACCAGGTACACTCAACAGACTTATCCCCCTATAATTTTTGCACTCTCTTTTATCCCCTTTGCCTTTATACAAAGGAACTATGCATGCTCTCTGCCAATCCCTAGGTACCTTACCCTCTTCCATACATTTATTAAATAATTGCACCAACCACTCCAAAACTATATCCCCACCTGCTTTTAACATTTCTATCTTTATCCCATCAATCCCGGCTGCCTTACCCCCTTTCATTTTACCTACTGCCTCACCTACTCCCAAGTATCTGAAAACATTCACATACATGTACAAGAATATATATACATACATATCCCTCTGGGTTTTCTTCTATTTTCTTTCTAGTTCTTGTTCTTGTTTACTTCCTCATCTCCATAGGGAAGTGGAACAGAATTCTTCCTCCATAAGCCATGCGTGTTGTAAGAGGCAACTAAAATGCCGGGGGCAAGGGGCTAGTAACCCCTTCTCCTGTATATACAGTGGACCCTCGACCAACGATGGCATTGATTAACGATAAATCCGACTAGCGATACATTTTAACGCAAAAATTTTGCCTCGACTAGCGCTAAAAAACTCGACCAACACTATTCGTTCCGTCTGAGAAGCATCCACTTCTGGCCAGTGTTTACAAGCCAGCCAGCCACCGCAGTCGCTTCCAAGCATACAATTGGAACATTTCATGTTAAACACAGCCTTTTTAGTGATTGCACCTGCAAATAAGTCCACCATGGGCCCCCAAGAAAGCTTCTATTGCCAAACCCCCTAAAAGCAAAAAGGGTGAGAATTACTATGGATATGAAGAAAGGGGATCATGCAAGTATGTAATTTGGAGTGCATGTCTGATGGCCAGGTTGTAACAAAAAACCCCAATCAACCATCGCTCTTTGGTGGCCAAGGAAAAGGCATAAAGGAAGCTGTTTTTGCAAAGGTGCAAAATGTTTCGAAACTGGGATCGCAGTGAAGAAGATTTGAGAGAGGTTATTGTGTGGATAAAACAAAAAAAGATAAGCAGGAGATAGCATCTCTCAAAGCATATATGTGAAAAGGCTAGGAATTGCATGAGGATTTAATTGGGGAAAAAATTTGCCAGCAACTAGGGGTGAATGTGAGTGAATTTAAAAGGGCCCCAGAAAGGTTGGTTGAGAGATTTAAGATCGTATGGCATACATGTGTGATAAGGCAGGGTGAGGCTGCCAGTTTGGACTAAAAAGCAGCTGGAAAATATGTGCAGGAATTCAAGGAGTTCATAGACATGAAGAATTGAAATGAACAAGTGGTTAAAATGTGACACTGACAATGTTTGTGAACCTTTAGGAATGTCATAAGGAACGGGGGTACAGCCTCTTTTGGACAGATATGTTGTGCAACAGAGGTCCAGTACTCTCAGTTGTCCATTTGGCATTAAAAGAAAAGGAAGTAACCCAAAAAAGACTTGCACCTCAAGTCCTAATTGGAAGGGATTCCCTTCTAAACACTAATGCATGTCTTCTTCAGTTTGTGTGTATTAAAATTAATATTCTGTGTAAAATTTTTTTTTTTCAATACTTTTTGGGGTGTCTTGCACGAATTAATGTGATTTTCCATTATTTCTTATGGGGAAAACTAACTCGACTAACGAAATTTCGTTTAAAAACGATGAGCTCTCAGGAACGGATTAATATCGCTGGTCAAAGGTCCCTGTTTTACTAATTACGGGAGAAGCTTTCTTTTCCTTTTGGGCCACCCGCCTCGGTGGGATACGGCCCGAGGGGTTTTGGGGAAAGAAGAAAGACCACAGTGAAAAAGGTAGTAGGTTGGTAGACAGCAACCACCCAAGGAGGTAGTACCTTCCTGCCAAGTGAGTGTAAAACGAAAGCCTGTAATTGTTTTACATGATGGTAGGATTGATGGTGTCCTTTTTTCTGTCTCATAAACATGCAAGATTTCAGGTACATCTTGCTACTTCTACTTACACCTAGGTCACACTACACATACATGTACAAGCATATACATACACACCCCTCTGGGTTTTCTTATAATTTCTTTCTAGTTCTTATTCTTGTTTATTTCCTCTTCTCTCCACGGGAAGGGGAACAGAATTCTTCCTCTGTAAGCCATGCGTGTTATAAGAGGAGACTAAAATACCAGGAGCAAGGGGCTAGTAACCTCTTCTCCTGTATAAATTACTAAATTTAAAAGGAGAAACTTTTGTTTCCCTTTTTGGGCCACCCTGCCTTGGCGGGATACAGCCGGTTTGTTGAGGAGAGAAAAAAAAAAGTGAAAATAGAAAATAAAACCTGAGCATTTTAATGTTCTTATACATATATCTTCCAAGGAATAGGAAGAGGCAAGAGAAGCACTCAGGTTTTATTTCCTATTTTCACTGTGGTAATTTTACAATAATAATAAAATTATTATTATTATGCACATTCATGGGGAAACACTAATCCTGTAGGAGTTAGAGTGCTTGAGGAATGTTGGTATAACAAGGCTTTATCCAAGAGATGAGTAGATCCAATTCCTAGGATCAAGAAAACCTTTTCTAGCATCAAGACACCTCCTCAAAGGGAATACAAATGATACTAAAGCCTTATTTTCAATACTGTGGAACATATAACAATCACTGAGGTGAATGAGAGCCTTAATACAATTCCACTTCACAACCCACATCAATGAATACTTTACTAGGATTTTTTTTTATAATTAAAACTTACAAATTCAAAAATCCAAAAAAAAAAAATACAGTGGAACCCTGAATTTTTTTTTTTTTTTTTTTTTTTCAACAAGTCGGCCATCTCCCACCAAGGCAGGGTGACCCAAAAAAGAAAGAAAATCCCCAAAAAGAAAATACTTTCATCATCATTCAACACTTTCACCACACTCGCACATTATCACTGTTTTTGCAGAGGTGCTCGGAATACAACAGTTTAGAAGCATACACATAAAATACACAACATATCCCTCCAAAACTGCCAATATCCCAAACCCCTCCTTTAAAGTGCAGGCCATTGTACTTCCCATTTCCAGGACTCAAGTCCGACTATATGAAAATAACCGGTTTCCCTGAATCCCTTCACTAAATATTACCCTGCTCACACTCCAACAGATCGTCAGGTCCCAATGTACCATTCGTCTCCATTCACTCCTATCTAACACGCTCACGCACACTTGCTGGAAAAATCCAAAGCCCCTTGCCCACAAAACCTCCCCTAAATACCCCCTCTCTCCAAACCCTTTCGAGGACGAACCCCTACCCCCCCGCCTTTCCCTTCCCTATAGATTTTTATGCTTTCCATGTCATTCTACTTTGATCCATTCTCTCTAAAAGGACCAAAACCACCTCAACAACCCCTCTTCTGCCCCCTGCTAATACTTTTATTAATCCCACACCTTTTCCTAATTTCCACACTCCGAATTTTCTTTATAATATTTACACCACACATTGCCCCTTAAACAGGACATCTTTCCCCTGCCTCCAACCGTCTCCCCCGCTGCTGCATTTACCACCCCAAACTTCAAAACCCATGTAAGAGTGTTGGATACTACTATTTTCATACATTCCCTTTTTGCCTCCATATATAAACGTTTTTTGACTCACATATACCTTCAACGCACCACTCACCTTTTTCCCCCATCAATTCCTATGATTAACCTCATCCTTAAAATTTCCCTTTCCCCCGACACGTCAACTCCCAAGTAAACTGAAAACATTCACTTCTTCCATACTCCTCTCCCCAATTTTATATCCAATTTTTCTTTATCTGAATCATTTGACACCCTCATCACCTTACCTTTTCTATGTTTCACTTTCAACTTTCTACCTTTACACACAATTCCCAAACTCATCCACTAACCTTTGCAATTTTTTCTTTAGAATCTCCCATAAGCCAGTAAACTCAGCAAAAAGTAACTGTCAATTCCCATTTTGAATTTGATTCCCCAAAATTTAATCCCACCCTCTCCCGAACACCCTAACATTTTTCTTTCCTTTACAACCCCATCTATAAATATATTAAAAAACCATGGTGACATTAACACATCCCTGTCTAAGACCTACTTTTACCCGGGGAAGTAGCCCCCCCTCTCTTTTTCACCCCCAAACCCCTGACCCCTAAACTATCCTCAAAAAAAACTTTTTAAACAGCATTTAAAAATTTTTCCCAACCTCCCCTAAATTTACACCATAACCCCGTTCCAGGTCACCCCAAAATTTTCAAAAAGGTTTAAAATTTTGGGAAAGGGAAATTTTTTGTGAAGGGTTTCCCGGGAAAACCCTTTTTATTTTAAAATAACCGGCCTTGAGTCCTGGAAAGGGGAAGTCCCAATGCCTCCCACTCAAAAGGGGGGGTTTTTGGGATTTTGGGAAGTTTGGAGGGATATTTTGTTTTAATTTTTTTATGTTATTATTCTTCAAGCGGGTTGTATTCTGGGGAAAACCTCTGCAAAAAGTAAATTATTTTGTGAGGGGAGGGGGAGATGTTAAAATGATGATAAAAAGTATTTTCTTTTTGGGGATTTTCTTTTTTTTTGGGGTCACCCCTGCCTGGGGTGGGGGGGGGGGCCGATTTGGGGTTGAAAAAAAAAAATAAATAATCCTTTCCCAGAAAACCCAAAAAATAAAAAAGAAAATACATTTCTTTAAACCCTTTTCCTATGTTTTACATACAAAAAAACAATTCCCAATTAATATAAATAAATATTTAAATCATTTTTAAATTACTGTTTTGGGAAAGACTTTTTGGGCATATGGAAGACAGGGAGGAAGGGGGGAGGGGGGGGAAGGGGTTTTACTGTTTGGAAGGGGACCCCCCCACCTTTAATGCTTCATGTATCAATTTTCCCTCTCTGGAGTTATTTCCCCCTTTTCTTTGTCTTTTAATGGCACAAATCCCATTTGGGGTCACTGGACCCTGTCACAAAAAAAAACTGTCCAGAAGGTCTGTTTCTGGCCCTCAAAGTTTGCCTGAAGTGGGGCCCAAAGGGTTTTTTCAATGAAATTTGCCCGTTTTGGTTTTTTTTTCAGCTTGGTTTTGGGGGATATTTCCAGCAAAAACTTGCATCCCTCCACATTCCCCAATTCTCCTTAATCTTGGGAAAAAGGGCCTCCTTCCCCCCTTTTCCTCCTCCCTTTAAGTAAGTTCCTTGATGTGGGTTTTTTGCTGTTTTAGTTGAAGGTCTTGCAGCTCTTCATGGTTTTTGAAGAATTGAGACACCTTATGGGAACATATGGGAACTTTTTGAAGGAAAAGTTTCACCCCCACAATGGCTTCCTTTAGTCCAATTCAAAGGAAAAAGGGTTAAAAAAAAGGAATTGAGGTAAATTTAGTTCCCCCCCAGCCGGGAATTTGGGGTGTCCCCAAATCCCTCACTCTTGTAGTGAATTTTAAATGATTCCCCCCAGAAAATCTCTTTGGGGCAATTTTGGTTTTCCCAGGTCACTTCAAAGTACCTTTGAACACTGCTTTTGTGTGTTTGAGTTTTTTGAAAAATTAGAAATGGGGGCCTGCTGGTCCTTTAGCTGGATAAGAGGGTGGTGTTAGGAGGCAAAAAACTTCACTGTTAAATCCCTAAAACAATTTTTTTACCCGTTTGGAGGAAAGAGCGGAGCATTGCCATTCCAGGAGGCATTAAGGGGGCAATTTTTATTTTTCCCGGGGGCATTTTTTTTACCACTTGGGCCCAAAAACTTTTTATTGGGCCCCCGTCAATGAAAATTTGCCTCATGGGCCCATGCCCTTTTGAAAAAACTTTCCAACTCACACAATTTAAATGTTGACGGGCATTGGTTTTTTTTTGAACACAAATGGGTTTTTCGAGTGAAGACCAGTAAAAGCTTAACTTTGAAATCCCCACTAGCATTAGCACAGAACAAAAGATTTAGCCTATCCTTCATAGGCTTGTGTCCTGGCGGTTCCTTTTCCTCCTGCGTGATGTAGGTCCTCTTTGGCATTTTCTTCCAAAAGAGGCCTGTTTCGTCACAACTGAACACTTGTTGGGGTGGAATTCTTCACTCTCTACGTACCCCCTGAATTCCTGCACAAATTTTTCAGCCGCATGTTTGTCTGAACTTGCAGCCTCAACATGCCTTACAATACTGTGTGCCACTACGCTTCTTAAATCTGTCAAACCAGCCTCTGCCGGCCTTAAATTCATTAACATCATCACTAGTTCCAGGCATTTTCTTTACGAGATCCGCATGGAACTACCTTGCCTTTTCACAAATGATTATCTCTGAAACACTATCTCCCACTAATTGTTTTTCGCTGATCCACAGCAACTTCTCCACATCTTCCATCGTTGGTAATCTCTTTTTCCTTAACATGTTTACCCCTTTCGCCACATCAGCTTCCTCGATTTGTTCTTTCTTTCCCAGAATAGAAGTGATTGTTGATTTGTTTTTGCCATACATCATGACAAGCTGGAGCGCACACACACCACTCTCATATTTTTCAACAACTTCTTTCTTAAATTCCATCATGTTTCTCATTTTCTTTACCAAAGGAACTTTACTAGGAACTTTCTTGGGGCCCATGGTGGCTTATTTCACAGTCGCACTTAATAAACAAGCACAAAAACCAATGGATTTTAAGGAAGTGTTTGGATGAATGCACGGAGTACATACTCATTCACAGCGAGAGACAGGGAGACTGACTCACCTACACATGGCATCCCGGCAGGAGGCGGGTTGACGCGTCTAATACGGCCAATTTGCGAGGCACCAGCCGAAAAACTGAACAAAATTTCGGCCCAAAAACGATTCGGCCAATAAGTGCAGTGGCCAATATTTGGGGTTCCATTGTACTGAAGCACTAACAAGAATGCTGTCCCATTAGTGAAGGACTCGACTGATTGATCATCAGCCTACCACAATCACAGGGTTTGATCACTGACCTACCACAATGACAGAGGTTGATCAATAACTTACCACAATCTCAGGATTATGTCCTTTTTCAAATTCCAGCGATGCTGCAAGAACCATCAGTGCCCTCTTGAATACCATATGTGGCGTCTTATGGAAGAAATAGTAATACAACTGAGTTGTATCTAGAAGAACCTGCAAAATTAATTTGGTATATTAATAAATCTGTAGACAAAAAATCTATTAAATAAGAAGACAATAGTTAACCCTTTCAGGGTCCAAGGCCAAAATCTGAAGTGGTGCTCCAGTGTCCAAGAAATTTTGAGAAAAAAAAAAAAAAATTCTTACAGAATTAAAGAGCATATTTTTGTGAAGGTAATAAGACAAAAAAAAATTTCTGATCAGTACTTACCGAGATACAGTGCCGAGAAGTTTGTCCAAATTGACATGGTGGCGTCAACATTGACGAATTCCACATATGCGCATTACTTTATTTAGCAGTTTTTGTAGTTTTTTCTTTTCTTTTCCAATTTTTTTCTTTTCCTACTAACATTTGGGGCATAAGAGACCAATACTGTATATAATGTATAAATATAATCTCACTGTATTGAACACAATAACCGCACTAAAGTTATTATCATATTATTGTTTACCACTGTTGTTTATTACAATAAACATGCACAAGTCTTGTATAATACTAATGTTCTATCATATACTTACATATTTACAATCACTGGACATGGTTTTAGAACTGCTGGAGCTTGTGAAACTCCTTGAAACAAGGCACCATGCACAGAGGTACCTTACATTCCTCACACATAAACCGAGTGTCTTTGCGTGTTTGTTGCCATCGTTTTGTTTGTGCACAGACGATGCATCTCTTCTCAGCAAATTTCTTCTGAGTTGAAAGAAGCTGTATTATGAAATGATCACCTTCCCTCCTCAAACGCTTGGGTATATCCTGAGGAATTCGAGGACCTCGTTGTATAGCAGGTGTTGTTACCTGGTACAGTAGGGCCCCACTTATACGGCTGGTTAGGTTCCAGGCTACCGCCGTAAAGTGGAACACCCTTTTTTTCCACTTACAAATGCATACAAACACTAGATAACAAGTTTACACTAACATATATTAAGTTAGCAATAGAACCAGGCATCAAAAAACAATAAAAAAGTACAATACACACATGGTGCACTCATTACTTACCTTAAAATATTTATAGTCTTAATCTAGGGTGAGACAAGTAGTATTTATTGTAAGAAATCAAGTGTGGTATGTATGGTAGTCAGCCAGGCTACCATACCAGGCCACCCCACCCACACATACAATTCTATGATATTTAAGCATCCCAGAGCGATAAAATGTATAAACAGTTCACTCATTACTTACCTTAAAATATAGGGTGAGATAAGTAGTATTTATTGTAAAAAATCAAGTGTGGTATGTATGGTAGTCAGCCGGGCTACCATACCAGGCCAACCCACCTACACATAATATTCTATTACATTTAAGCATCCCAGAGCGATAAAATGTATATACAGTTCACTCATTACTTACCTTAAAATATTTGTAGTCTTAATATAGGGTCAGGAGTAAGTAAATGAGATAAAACGAATAAATGAGAGAGAGAAAGAATGAGTGCATGAGAGAGGACAGGCGCAGAGTTATGTAAACAAACCAGGCGAAGGTAAGTTTTGTAAACGAAGTGTACACGTCTGGTTTGTGTACAAGTTACATTGTGTACAGGTTGTCTCTACATTGATACGGTAGAATAAATAAAGAAGAACACTCCCATTCTCATATAACATCATTTTGAGAAGAAATGATGCTCTGGGTGAAGGCAATGGAAATAAGTCACTCTGACTTTTTTGGGTTATCCTAGGTTCTCTACACATATGTTGTTATGTATGATAATCTATGTAACTGTATTTGTGTATACCTGAATAAACTTACTTACATACATACGAAAGGAATAATTTTCTACAGTTACCCCCAGTAACACATTTTCTCTTATGTTAGATTAGAGAAAATGTTATTCTTGGCGTCACTTGTACAAGTTATCTGGCTACCACATCTCATATTTATGTTTATTTATTCTACTGTAGGGTGTATTTATCATCTTTTAATGTTATGTATCGTGCTTGTTATATAATTTTGAAAAAAATATCATGGATGGATTAATGAAAATGTGTATATTAACGTAATATACAACATTTAATGAGACTCGGTGATTATTATTATTATTATCATTTCTAATATGGCGTCACTTGTGCAAGTCGTCTGCTACCACATCTCATATTTATGTTTATTTATTCTATTGTGGGGTGTATTTATCATCTTTTTATGTTTTATGATCAGTTATGGAAGGAGAAAAGAGAATATGAATGTGTAAATTCAAGAATTATGTGGATTAAAGTAAAGGTTGGATGCGAGAAGTGGGTCATAATAAGCGTGTATGCACCTGGAGAAGAGAAAAATGCAGAGGAGAGAAGAGATTCTGGAGTTTTTTAAGTGAATTATGGGAGCCTTTGAACCAAGTGAGAGAGTAATGTGGTGGGGGCCCTAATGCAAAAGTAGGAGAAATTTTTAGAGGGGGTGGGGAGGAATTTGGGGGGGCCAGGTGTAAATGAAAAGGGCCCCCTTTGATTGAATTTTGTATAGAAAGGGGTTTAGTTATAGGAAATACATTTTAAGAAAAAGAGGAAAAAAAAGTATACAAGATATGATGTAGGGCGAAATGACAGTAGTTGTTGGATTATGTATTGGTAGATAAAAGACTGTTGAGTAGACTTCAGGATGTACATGTTTATAGAGGGGCCACAGATATATCAGATCACTTTCTAGTTGTAGCTACACTGAGAGTAAAAGGTAGATGGGATACAAGGAGAATAGAAGCATCAGGGAAGAGAGAGGTGAAGGTTTATAAACTAAAAGAGGAGGCAGTTAGGGTAAGATATAAACAGCTATTGGAGGATAGATGGGCTAATGAGAACATAGGCAATGGGGTCAAAGAGGTATGGGGTAGGTTTAAAAATGTAGTGTTAGAGTGTTCAGCAGAAGTTTGTGGTTACAGGAAAGTGGGTGCAGGAGGGAAGAGGAGCGATTGGTGGAATGATGATGTAAAGAGAGTAGTAAGGGAGAAAAAGTTAGCATATGAGAAGTTTTTACAAAGTAGAAGTGATGCAAGGAGGGAAGAGTATATGGAGAAAAAGAGAGAGGTTAAGAGAGTGGTGAAGCAATGTAAAAAGAGAGCAAACGAGAGAGTGGGTGAGATGTTATCAACAAATTTTGTTGAAAATAAGAAAAAGTTTTGGAGTGAGATTAACAAGTTAAGAAAGCCTAGAGAACAAATGGATTTGTCAGTTAAAAATAGGAGAGGAGAGTTATTAAATGGAGAGTTAGAGGTACTGGGAAGATGGAGGGAATATTTTGAGGAATTGTTAAATGTTGATGAAGATAGGGAAGCTGTGATTTCGTGTATAGGGCAAGGAGGAATAACATCTTGTAGGAGTGAGGAAGAGCCAGTTGTGAGTGTGGGGGAAATTCGTGAGGCAGTAGGTAAAATGAAAGGGGGTAAGGCAGCTGGGATTGATGGGATAAAGATAGAAATGTTAAAAGCAGGTGGGGATATAGTTTTGGAGTGCTTGATGCAATTATTTAATAAATGTATGGAAGAGGGTAAGGTACCTAGGGATTGGCAGAGAGCATGCATAGTTCCTTTGTATAAAGGCAAAGGGTATAAAAGAGAGTGCAAAAATTATAGGGGGATAAGTCTGCTGAGTATACCTGGTAAAGTGTATGGTAGAGTTATTATTGAAAGAATTAAGAGTAAGACGGAGAATAGGATAGCAGATGAACAAGGAGGCTTTAGGAAAGGTAGGGGGTGTGTGGACCAGGTGTTTACAGTGAAACATATAAGTGAACAGTATTTAGATAAGGCTAAAGAGGTCTTTGTGGCATTTATGGATTTGGAAAAGGCGTATGACAGGGTGGATAGAGGGGCAATGTGGCAGATGTTGCAAGTGTATGGTGTAGGAGGTAGGTTACTGAAAGCAGTGAAGAGTTTTTACGAGGATAGTGAGGCTCAAGTTAGAGTATGTAGGAAAGAGGGAAATTATTTCCCAGTAAAAGTAGGCCTTAGACAAGGATGTGTGATGTCACCGTGGTTGTTTAATATATTTATAGATGGGGTTGTAAGAGAAGTAAATGCGAGGGTCTTGACAAGAGGCGTGGAGTTAAAAGATAAAGCATCTTTCCATCATACATTGCCCAAGTTTCAATAAGATAACCCAACAAACAATTGAGAAAATAATAAATAATAATAATAATAATAATAATAATATCTTTATTTACTATACGTACATGTACAAGGTATACAGGCCTAGCTGACGTCAGTGACATATTACTGTATAGAAAGCTGCTTGTTATGCAGAGTATTTCAAGAAAATTAGGTCAGTGTCCCAGGATAACACCCACACTAGTCCACTAATGCCCAGGTGCCCATTTACTGATGGGTAAACATAGACAACAGGTGTAAAGAGAGACACCTAATGTTTCTACCCTGGCTGGGAATCGAATATTTACCAAAAATCATATATGGCTAACCCAAGCCAGGTACTAGAAATAAGCCACGTTGAATTTTTTGGGTTATCCTAGGTTCTCTACACGTATGCTGCTAAGTGTGATAATCTATATAGAGAAAATAACTTTTTTGTTTCAGGTTTATGGCAGAGTATGAGTGTATATCACAGTTAGCCCTGTGGTATACTCCATTTTTTCTAATATAAGCCCCATGACAGGGATAGGAGAATGGTATTTGTATACCATATCCTCTTCATACCTCCGTTGAACTGCTCAGTATTATGCCAAATATTTATTCTGGAGTATTTAACATGTTTTATGTTATTTATATTGTTTATTATGTCATATTAGATCAATTGTGATAGGCAAATAAGTGGTAGTGTTGATATTAGCATAATAATAAAGCATATTCTCCTGCATCATGATATTGAGCTCATGGCAACCAACAGTGGCTTCAAAGCCACCTTATCTTTAATGGACAATGTACTGTGTTGGTGCTTTACATAATGAGAAGCATTTCTTTTATTCATTGGAACCATGGCAAGGGCTAAAAGTAAGCAGGTTATAACAATAAATGGAGAAAAAGAAATTGGAATGACTTATGCAGCAAGTAGCACTACCAAACAGCACCAGTAGGTTGGCGACCCTTGAAATTTGAAATTATGCTAGCCGAAATTAGTGCCGAATAACTGAAGGAACCGAATAACTGATTGCCGGATTTGTAATGGCGGACCTGTATTATAATAATTGTATAAATAATATCAGAGCATTCGTGAACACACAGTAAACCCACCAGCCTGTGTGTCTTGGAATTGTGATATGATTTGTTTATTCTTGAACATTGGCAAAAACTAAGCATTTCCACTACTTGGAGCTCTATTTCAAGCTATTTTCAGTACTAAAAACCAATCTGTAATATATCCTCCATTCTATAAAATAGAGACCATGAAACTGAAATTTTTTTTTTTTTTTTTTTTCAACAAGTTGTGGCCATCCCCCTCCCACCGAGGCAGGGTGACTGCAAACACAACCATAAAAAAACATAGGAAAATACGCCACAAAGTTGCTGCTTTAATCCAAAAACACGGTCGCAGTTTTTTTTTCCTCATTATGCACAGTGTGCTGCAGGATTTGTTTTGTATGATGCACACTTACCACAGAGATGCATTCTCTCATATCTATGCCCAAATTTACCGCTCACAGCTTATATGAGCAAGATGAGCTCATTACGTATTACTATGGCTTGGACCTTGGCTTCAAAGCCGCAGAACTATGGGATGGACCCTCAAAGGGTTAAAACACTATACAGTGTACATTAAATATTTCATGAACAAATGCTAAACCCAAAGGGGTCATACAGTGCATGCTCAATGGGAAGTAATTTTGATCCAAGGATGAGGAAGGTAGGTCATAAAGCACCTAGAAGAATAGGAGGTACTCAGGATCACTCCAAGGAAAGGGAAACACAGTTCAATTCCTTAGACTAAGAGCCACCTCACTGACATCAAAATACCTGGGGTCCAGATATTAAGGAAAACCTAAACAAATCACAGATACCTGATCATTGGAAAAACTTGGAAGACCTGTACCACCATATGGCAACAACCGTCGGTAGCGCAATCATAAACACGAGGCCATACAGCCCAAGCACCCACAGAGAATTTTCTTTCTCGACAATCCATGATGGAAGGGCAATTCCAAAATGCATAGCTCCGGGCCATCTGGGTGACCATAACGCTCATAGTTCCGTCTGGCATCATCATCGGTCAGAGCCAGGTAAGCTGAAAAACAAAATATAAAAATTTACACTTCTAAACTGGAACAGAAAATTAAAGATAAACAGGTGTTAAGTACAGTGGAACCCCGTATTTCAGTTGTAATCCGTTCCGGAAGGTCAGTCTAAAATCGAAAAAACCCAAGTAATATTTCCCATAAGAATGAATGTAAATACAATTAATCCGTTCCAGACACCCAAATATATTAACAAAAATACATTTTTAAAGACTAACTACAGTTTTACATACACAAAACAATGAGAACTAAATAAAATAACAAATAAAGTGGATAAATGAACATTTAACATCACATTTACCTTTATTGATGATTCTTGTTGGCGTATGGAAGACAAGGAGAGAGGGAGGACTGATTATTGTTTGGAAGGGAAATCCCCTCCATAAGGACTTCAGTTATCAAGTCCCTATCCAGGGTTACTTCCCTTCTTTGTCTTTTACTGGCACTTGGAAACCCGCTTTAGTCACTGCACCCGTCGCACAAAAAAACTGTTATCGTTAATCCACAACAACAATAACTTCTCCACATCTTCGATTGTTTGTGATCTTTGTTTCAATAGCATATTTACCCCTGTTGCAACATTAGCTTCCTTTGATTTCTACTTTTCTTTGCCAGGATGGAAGTGACTGTTGATATGGATATGCCATACATCCTGGCAAGCTCGAGCACACGTACACCACTTTCGTACTTTGCTATAATTTCTTTCTTGAATTCTATCGTGTTTCTCACTTTCTTTACCAAAGGGCTGGCACTAGGAACTTTCTTTGGGCCCATGGTGGCTTATTTCGCAGTCGCACTCAATAAACAACCACAAAAAACAATGGATTATAAAAAAATGTTTGGATGAATGCTCAGAGTGTTGCTCACTCACTGAGACACACAGCCAAACTGACTCACGCATGCGGCGTGACAGGCGGACATGTCTAATACGACCAATTTCTGAGTTGCCTGCCAAAATCCAGGATGGAATTTCGGCCCCAAAAAAAAAGCGGCCGAAATCCGATTTGGCCGATATCTGCACTGGCCAATATCCGGAGATCCACTGTAACTCTAATAATAACTGCCATTCAGAACTGCCTTGATGGGATATGGCCAGTTAAAAAAAAAAAAAAATCAGAACTATATTACAATACACAAATATGGGCTTTCCTATATAAGAAACAAATACGTACAGTGGACCCCCGCCATACAATATTAATCTGTTCCTGAGAGCTCATCGTAAGCCGAAATTATCATTAGCCAAATTAATTTTCCCCATAAGAAATAATGGAAATCAAATTAATCTGTTCCTGACACCCCAAAGTATGAAAAAAAAATGTTTTTTACCACATGAAATATTAATTTTAATACACACAAACTGAAGAAGACATGCACAATTACTACTCTACTAAGAATAGAATACATGACACTTACCTTTATTGAAGATCTGGTGATGATTGATGGGATGGGAGGAGGGGAGTGTGTGGAAGTTATTGTTTAGAAGGGGAATCCCCTTCCTTTAGGAAGCATGAGGTAGCAAGTCCTTTTCCGGGGTTACTTCCCTTCTTCTTTTAATGCCACTAGAACCAGCTTGAGAGTCACTGGACCTCTGTCGCACAACAAATCTGTCCATAGAGCTCCGTACCTCCCGTTCCTTTAAGGCTTTCCTAAAATGGGCCATAACATTGTCATTGTACAGGTTGCCAACACGGCTTGCAGTAGCTGTGTCAGGGTGATTTTCATCTGTAAAGGTTTGCAGTTCAACCCACTTTGCACACATTTCCTTAATCTCTTTTTTCAATTTCATGCTAATTCTCACCCTTTTTACCACAGGGATGGCACTAGAAGCTTTCTTGAGGTCCATGGTGACTTATTTTGCAGTTACAAGCACTAAAAACACTGGGATAATGTGAAATGTACCGAATGTATGCGTAGATGTGACCGCACTGGCTGGCTTGTAAACACTGGCACTGAGGCCACACGTGGGATGCGTCCCAGACGAATCACGTAAGGCAAGCTTTTTATCGTGAGGCGAGGCAAAATTTTTGCGTTCAAATGCTTCGTATGGCAGATTTAACGTAAAGCGATGCGTTCGCAAGGCGGGGGTCCACTGTAGTATACTGTATTGTAAACCAATATTTGTGACAAACTGGCTTGAACAATATTATTATCATTATTATTATTATTAAAAGATTTTGGATATTGAATTTTTCTTTAAATATGAATTTTCTCAACATGAACACTATTTAACCCTTTGACTGTTTTCGACGTATAAATACGTCATACGAGCCAATGTTTCTGACGTATATATACTCAATAATTCTAGCGGCTTCAAATCAAGCGGGAGAAAGCTGGTAGGCCCACATGTGAGAGAATGGGTCTGTGTGGTCAGTGTGCACCACATAAAAAAAATCCTGCAGCACACATTGCGTAATGAGAAAAAAAAAACTGATCGTTTTTTTGGAATAAAACGCAGACTTTGAGGCGTATTTTCGTATAGTATTTATCGTTGTATTCGCGTTTTCATGGTCTTAGGTGATAAAATGGAAAACATATTACAGAAATAGAGATGATTTTCATTACTTTGACGATAAAAAACGACCTTGAAACTGAGCTCAAAGTAGCGGAAATGTTCGATTTTACCAATGTTCAGGAGTAAATAAATCACACCACACGTCCAATACATGTCAACTGGGGAGTCTAATATTCTTTCACTAGTGCACTGATATTATTTATACCATTTTTACAATAAGCAGTAGTCTGCATAACAGTAAATTTTGTATTTTTTTGTATGAATAAAAAATCAAAATAGAAAGCAATAATAATATAAGAGGAGCCTAGAGATGTGACTAATGAACAGAGCATATGTTATTTTAGTGCCACGAATGTCTACCTTGTTTATTCTGGACCCTATTTTGAAATGGCATCTTTTTTAGTTTGCGTGAAATTGGCCAAATTGCCAATTTTCTGACCACCATATTGGGTAGTCCATATTAGTAAATGGGAGGTTTCTTGTACTCAGCTGATAGATAAAATGGAGTTCTAAAGAAATAGCTATGAGTTTGGTCAACTGGAACAATAGAATTGGCTGAAAATAGGGCTCAAAGTCGGCAAAATCGCCCATATGCTTATGTCGCCGAGACCGCTAATTCGCGGGAGCATAATTCCACGAGTTTTCGACCAAATTTCGAACTTTTGGTGTCATTACCATCGGGAAAAGATTCTCTATCATTTCATAAGAAAAAATAATTTTTTTTTTTCAAAAATTGAGTGACAGAATGACAGTTTCAGAGAGGGGCCTGAAACAGTCAAAGGGTTAAATTCTCAAAACATTTAATTCAATTTTTTATAAGAATAGGAAAGATAAAATGCAGAAGAGAGGCATTGAGCTAGTGCCTGTGCCAACTTTCAGGAAAGGTGCATTATATGCAATTGCTATTTCACACAATTTGAAGTATAACTTCCAAAATACTGTGTGCAGCAATTCCATTTTTAATTTTCACGCCTATCAATGCTTACTGATGTAGAGTACCGTCAATTCACACAAATTCATCAGTATTAAAATAAAATAAAAGATTAAAAATTTTATTTCTTTCCTAAGGTTACTATGTGCAACTACAATTTTGATTTGTTAAGTACAAAGAAAGCCACTATCATGCCGGGCATTTCGGACAGACTAATCCTGGTACATAATAAACTACTTAAGTCTAGACAAGATATGAGTGATTAACTTTTTAATAAATCTATTTTATCTTAACACTAATGTGAGGTAGTCAAGGTGGAGGTTTATAAGAAGAATAATCTTGAAGTTGCACCTATTAAAAACAATATTACAATTAATGGCTCAAACAGTAATATTTTATGGATTGGCAGATGTTTTAATACACTAGAGGTCACACTGAGAGATGAGATGATATTTAAGCATAACCCTAAATTTGTATGTAGTCAGGGGATCCTTTACCAGTTCAGGTAGTAAATTCCTGATCTTCGGGCCCTTTATGTGCATTGCATTTTTGCATAGTGTGAGACTGATACAAAGGATGTTAAAGACTGCTTTGTGCTTTGTATTGTGACTGTGCGTTCTGCTGTAGCTATCAAGGAGAAGTTTAAGTGGAGGGTTTATATTGGAGTTTAATGTTCTGTCTATATAAAAGGCACAATAATACGAGTGTATACCTCGTATATTTAGTAGGTTAAGGATTTTGAAAAGTTTATTTACCTTTATTTAGTCTCATAAATTTGCGTTCATCGCCTGTGGGCTTATCAGGATGGTATACAAGAGACTGCTTTCTGTAGGCCTTTTTTATTTCGGCAATAGATGATCCCTGAGGAAGGTAATGCTTAGCGTAAGTTATATGTGATATTAATCATTAAAAACATGTTCCTATGTACAGTAACAGAGAGGAAATATAATTACATAAAAACATTGCCAAACAATAGTAATGTTAGTAAGAAACAATTATATCAAATGTAACCTTACTGTAAAATAGATTTTTAATTTTAATAGTAAAAATCTAATAATTTGCAACAAATAACTCAATTTATTTATTATACACTTATTTTTTAATTATTTTACAAATATTGATGAACAAATTAAAAAATAAAACTTACCACTCCAATCCCCAGAATATCGTAAGGGTCAAAGTTAGCGTATTCGTAATCAAACTGCTGTAGCTTGTACACGAGGAAGGCCATTACCACCCAGCCTGTCAAGATTAAGAGACGCCTGTAGAGCAAAACATACATTAGAAATTTTTGCAAATTAAATGATGTGCTGTGAGTAGTTAGGAGAGAAGTTATTTTGTGAACTTTAGAAAAAAAAAAAACTAAGTGTTTAAACACTATGTATGAAAATTAATACCACACATAAAATCATACAGGGAAAAATTCATGAATGTATACTGAAGCATTTTACTTATATTTCTTTTTTTAATTATCAATGAAAGTGCTAAACCTCTAAGGATCAAACAGCTCTGCAGAAAAGTTAAAAAAAAAAAAAAAAAAAAAAAAAAAAAAAAACTGGCATCTCCCACTTCAACTCTTAACTCCCCATTTGTTATTCAACTACAAATATAACAATGGCAAAACAAACTGTATTCCACTTGAAGAAACCTAAAGGAACTGATTTACTAAATTTCTGGACAAAGGCATATTGCCAACATCCTTGGAGAAAAGATACAGTTGCAGGGCAAACTTTTATCAAGTCATTGACTTGACACAGCTCTATACAGTGAATTGATAAAATAACATTATCATAAATGCCTGCTCTGCACTTTCTTCTTTGCAACTAAATGAAACCTGAGAATATTGCATTACTCTCTACAAAAAATCATGGTACAGTAAACCTTTGATTTATTGACTAATAGGGAAATGAAGGTGCCTAGTAATGGTGATAGAGATCAGATTGTGTTACTGTGACTGTAATAATAGTAATACAGGTCTCTCTCAACATTTGCGAGGGTTAGGGGATCAAGAGCATCGCTAATGTTGAAAAATCGCGAATGTTTGGTGCCCCAATGTATTGTAGGGAAATATAATACAATACTGCTTCCTAACTTGTTGAACCATGAACAATCATAAAATACATGAAAATGTCGTAAATTGTACTAAATACATACATGTTATGGTTTAATAACATGAATGTTATTAAATACCACTGCCTCCACCACTGCCTCAACCACTGCGAGTCCCTACTACCCTCCCTCCGACCCCCACAACTGGCAGCCAGGCCTCCCACCACTGTGTGGTGTGCTTTGTTTGTTCATTATTTGCTATTAAACTACAGTATAAATAATGTAAACCCATTCATGACTGCATATTGGAATGGCTATTTGGACAGATATTGGACAGTGACATCATATGTTTACTCTTGAACACAGCAAAGAATCAAAACATTTCTGCTACTGCAGTGGTTGAGGCAGTGGTATTTAATAACATACATGTTATTAATAATAACATGTACTATTATTATTAATAACATGTGTTATTAAATACCACTGCCTCAATTACTGCCTCTACCGCTGCCTCAAGCCTTAACCCCTGCCTCAACCGCTGCCTCAAGCCTCAACCACTCCAGTCACACTCAATCTACAAGCACCAAACACAATGAATTATTGTGAAATGTTTGGAACAGCATGGAAACTAATGCTCACTCCAGCATAAACAAAGCCACACTGGCAATTTGTCAACCACTTCCTCCATGTTACGACTTAATCTTCACCGTAACAATAGGGGCACAAATAACTCCAATTTTTTGTTAGTTTTATTTTATTACCAATCGTTTAGCTTCATTGGTATTTGGTTAGTGAATTAAAATAACCACAAGCAATTATAAATGAAATACTATACAGCAAGAAACCCAATCTTACGTTCAAATTCTCATGAACAGAGTATGATACAATAATTTCCATTAATAATCTACTAATCTCACCATTTTAGAAAGGTCTAGGGTAACGAAATAGTTATCTTTCATAAGTGACATGAATTACCAGACTTCAGGAAACTAATGGCAAAGGCAAGACAATAGACTTGGTATAAAGTTTTAGTTTAAGCTAGGAGCTTTGGGTTGAAGACCCGTACCGAGTCAGAGCTAGGAGCTGACTGACTCACTCAACTACTTCATAGTATGACTTCAGCTCGGCCAGAAGGCGACGCGTGGCGTCAATTCTAGAACCACCAATTGGTCACTACAGTAGTGGTTACACATTCGTAATACCTAACCTAATAATAATATAATATAATATTATAATTATAATAATCATGGGGAAAGATATAATATAATACAGTATAATACAATGAGAGTACTTTTGATGATTCATACTGTACCCGATAATAATATATAGTTGAACCTGCTTTATCTAGCTAGTAATAAAGTGGTTCGCGATATATTATTACAGAACTTATTTTAACCAGGCCTTTTATTTTTGTATATAATGGAGTGAAGTAGGGGCGCGTAACACCTCCTCCCTCGCGACTGACGGTCGCCATTGACTTGTACTCTCTGTGGTGGGTAGCATCTGTCATAGTAGCAGAGGTTGTAACATAGACAGCAGTCCTACATCATCTCCAGCTTTCTCCACAACATAGATGGTCATAAAAGTACCGACTCATACTGTTAAAAATAAAGGTATATTAATAAAAATTTCAAGGCCTACAGAGGGCATCAGCAATGAGATTATGTTTTCCTTTTATATGGGAAATGGTAATAGAGAAGGGTTGAATTCTCAAAGCCCAACGAAGTATTCTGGCGTTCTTCGATTTCATAGAATTTATGAAGGTCAAAGGATTATGATCGGAGTACACCGATATCTGATGGGTAGAGGATCCTAAATATACATCAAAATTCTCTAGGCATACAACGAGAGCTAAGGCTTCTTTTTCTATAGTTGAATAATTAATTTGGTGTTTCTTTAACTTAGAAGAAAAATAAGAAACAGGTTGTAATAGGTCAGAATTTGGAGCCTTCTGTAACAATGCGGCTCCCAAAGCATACGCACTGGCATCTATTTGTAAGTGGAATGGTTTATTAAAATCAGGACTTAGCAATACTGGGGAAGAGGATAGTAATCTTTTTAAACGATTAAAAGCAATTTCACAGTCCTGGGTCCATGAAAACTTTGTTTTTGGACTAGTTAATTCAGTTAGGGGAAAAGCTACCTGTGCAAAATTCGGACAGAACCGACGGTAGTAACCAGCAACTCCTAAAAATCTTGATACGCTTTTCCTATCCTTAGGGGTAGGAAATTCTAAGAGGGCCTTTACTTTGGCGTTCAAAGGAGCGACTTCACCTTGTCCAATCTGAAATCCTAAGTATTTAATTTTCGTCTGGCCAAACTCACACTTGGACAAATTCACTGTAAAATTATGTTTACTTAAGGCATCAAACAAGGCTTTAAGCTGTCTAAGGTGTTGGGGCCAACTGTCGCTGTATACGACTAAGTCGTCTAAGTAAGCTTCAACTCCGTCCAATCCGCCTGTATGTTCATAATACGCTGGAACGTAGAAGCCGCGTTACAGAAGCCGAAGGGCATAACGCAATACTTGTATAGGCCACCAGGTATCGTAAAAGCCGATATCTCTTGAGCTTTTGGTGACAACGGGACTTGGTAATACCCTCTTAACAAGTCCAATTTACTGATATACTTAGCTCTGGAGACCTTGTCTATTAAGTCGTCAATTCTGGGTATTGGAAACCCATCAGGTACTGTTACAGCATTGACTTTTCTAAAATCCGTACACATACGGGAGGTCCCGTCTGGTTTGGGGACTAGAATGCACGGGGATGCCCAAGGACTGTTACTTGGTTTTATCAACCCGTGTGAGAGTAAGAAGTTCACCTCTGCCTCTAGCTCACCTTGTTTTTTGGGACTCACTCTGTAGGGAGATTGCTTGATTGGAGTAGGTTCTCTGAGAGTAACATCGTGCACACCCAACATACACGGTTTTGGGACGTCGTTGAATAGGTGGAGATTTGCCTTAATCAGGGATTTTATTTCATGTCCTTTGTCCACTTCCAAATTTATCAATAGAGAATTTAAATTCTTTAAGGCTGTCGAATTGTTCAGAAGAACTGGTATTCCTATCATTTCATCTGAACTTACTGGAACCCGTTCTTGGTTCAGAGGAGTTATAGTAGAAACTGGTGAAAAGATTCCTGAATAGGGTTTAAGTTGGTTAACGTGATACGTCCGTTGTGAGTTCCTCTTCTTCGGCATCCTTACCAAGTAGTTCACGTCACTTAGGCGCTTCACGATTTCTAAAGGACCTTCAAATTTGGGCTGTAGAGCATGTCCCTGATGAAATCGTTGAACCAGAACTTGATCTTTTGGTTCAAATGAACGAAGTTTAGTTCGACGATCGTATTCCTCCTTCATCTTACTCTGTGCTTGTCGTAAGTTTTTGGCGGCCAATTCTCTAGCTAGGCTCAGGCGTTCTTTCATTAAGGTAGGAGAGCTCCTAAAAGTCGGCGTTTCTTCCCCGGTCCAAGCTTCTTTGAGAACCTGTAATGGTCCTCTAATTTGATGCCCATATATTAACTCAAATGGCGAAAACTTCAAGTTGTCTTGTTCGCTTTCTCTTAGGGCAAACAAGAGTAGTGGAATACCTTCATCCCAATCTTTGGAATACTGTAAACAATAGGACCTCATCATAATCTTCAAAGTTTGATGGAACCTTTCCACCACGCCTTGTGATTGGGGTCGATAGGCCGTCGCGTAAACCGTCTTGACCCCTAACTGAGCCAAGGCTTCACGGAAAAATTTTGAAGTAAAATTCGACCCTTGATCCGATTGAACTTCTCTTGGAAATCCGAAGTGAGAGAAGAACTTAATCAGTGCTCTCACTATTAGGCGAGCATTAATCCTCCTGAGAGGAACTGCTTCCGGGTACCTGGTGACGGTGTCCATGATAGTGAACAGGAATTGGTTGCCCTTCCGAGTCTTGGGTAGCGGGCCGACACAGTCTATCACCAGACGTGAAAAGGGTTCGCCTCTTACTTGTACGTATAGGGTTCAATGGCGCAGGTGGTGGATTATGAGCAGGTTTGCCTACTAGTTGACACACGGAACAGCTTCTTACATACCGTTCCACTTCTTCCTTCATTTTTGGCCATGTGAAGTGCTTAGCAATTTTTCTAAAAGTCTTCTTTTGTCCCAGATGTCCGCCTTGAGGACTGTCATGAGCAAACTTACATGCTAAATTTCTAAACGGGGTAGGCAAGACCACTAGATGATCACTTTTAAGAGATCCTAGTTTCTTTTTCAGTAAGTCCTTCTCCCAATAGTAAGAGCTGTCGCTTTTAAGGGCTTCTTCTCCCGACACAGCAAGCTTCCTGATGTCACTTAAGGAGAGGTCTATTTGGAGTTCTCTTACTAGATCCTCCTTCAAGAATAAATCTATTTCGGAAACCACCGACTTAGGAACTGGTATCGGTTCTGGGTGGATTGTTGGCTCGACACTCAAGCTTTCATTGAATATGTCTCCTACTCCTACGTCGATGTCGTCCATGACTTCCTCCGATACCAACGGAGAACGAGACTGTTTGGTCATTGCCCGGGTTACTATGCTCAGAGGAAAGAGGGTAGGTTCCGTTCGTCGGGCTTCGATGACGTAATTTTCCTCGGTTGGATTTTCCATAACTATGGGCTCTTTCCATATTCCTTCTTCCGCTAAGTCATTCCCAATCAATAGGTCTACGTCTTTTATGGGGAAGTTAGTTGGAGACACTCCGATTGACGTCCAGCCTGTAAAAATAGAGTTTCAACATATAACTTGTACAGGGGTACTCGGTAGTGGAGCCACCATAAGCTTCCAACAGAGCGTCGAAACCGTATATGATCCGGCGGGGAATGATAACAGTCCTTCTCTTAATAATGTTAAGTAGGACCCGTATCCCTAAAGGAATTTACTTGCAACAACTGGCTATCGGTAATTCCTACTTTGCTTTTGGAAAAGTAAGGACTCATAGCCCTTGACAAGTTTGACGATGATACCCATATTCTGCTTAGTCAACTAGGAGGATCTGTTCCTTTTCCTTGGGACAGAGCGTCTACTCTTGGCTCGGACTTCCTTGGACGAGTCGTAGAGGATATTATTTGTGTGGGCAATCTATATGATGGACTCCTTCCCTGGTCCCTATCACGCTTAAAGCATTGTGATTTGAAATGTCCCAGCTTCGAACAGTATGAACATTTAATTTTTTCCCATGACCTATCTGCTCTATAAGATGGGCTCGATTGAATTTGGTGTTTTACTTCGGGTTTACTTGTTACACGGGAGTGAACGGGTTGGGTAGGTCGCTTACCGAAAGGCTTCGCAGGTTCGGGTCTCGTTGCTGATTTGATAACCTGGCTGCTTTCAGATTGTACCAACCTCTGGGAAATCTCAAAGTTGTCTGCCAGCGCGGCAGTCTCTAACAACGTCGTTTGCGGATGGCCAACGAGATTACTGGCTGAACTCCCTCTGGAAAATTTGCATACAAATCTTCTAGTAACATTAATTGTGATAGATCTTTTAAAGTCGTGACCCGAGAAGCTCGACACCAACGTTCACTGCTTTCCCTCGGGCAAAATCTAAATAAGTTTGTCCTGTTTGCCGTTTCATGGAACGAAAAGCTATTTGGTAACTAATAGGGAGCATGTCATATGCTTCTAAAATAGTTCTCTTTACTACGTCGTACTGGACATAAAACTCATATGGTAAGGAGGCGACACAAGACTGCGCCTTTCCATATAGAGACGTGTGCAGTAATGTGGCCCATTTGTCTTTGGGCCAGCCCATTGAACGTGCCTGATTCTCAAAAATTTCAAAGAATTCATCTAAGTCTGTTTCGTTAAACTTAGGTACCATCAGAGCTGCTTTATGCAAGTCAAACCCGGTTACCGTGCTCTTCACGTCTCTTTCTTCTGGAACTCCCTTCTGCTTTGTTTCAAAACGAAACCTTTCACGCCTAAATTCTTCCTCGTTTAGACGTCTTCTAGCTTCGATTTGAGAGTTTTGTAATAGTAATATGCGTTCTATTCTCTCTAGTTGTTCGGACGTGAAATTCCCAAGAGGTAATGACACCGAGGGGAATTCGGGCGTCTTCTCCGGAAGTATTTTGGGACGAGCACCAGTCCTAAAATTATCCCCGTCATTTGACTGAGGGTTCGTTCCAACCACCGATACATACTCCGGGGAAATGAACGGGGGAGAGCTTTGAGACTGGACTGAGTAGTAAGGCCTTGTAAACCCTGGCTCTACTTCATTATTTAAGGCAGTTCCCGTCCGTGGGATTTCTACTTCCTCGAACTGAGAAATAAAACTATCTTCCAAATCTAATTCTGGCAATGCTTGGGATTTCGGAAATAATCTATCCTTAATTAGGGACCTAAGAGTCTCTGCACTATGGTATCTATTATAAGGTATATCTAACTGTCTAGCTATTTGCCAACACGTCTGTAATTTTAAAGTGTCAAGAGTAGCCTCTGTTAATTCATCTAATAATGACTTAATTTCTGGATCCATTTTCTTAATTCTCGCAAGGGAGCTTAATTTTAATGCAAAACAAATATGTACTTCAGGGTAAGTAGCTCCCGGACAGACAACCCATTTGTTACGACTTAATCTTCACCGTAACAATAGGGGCACAAATAACTCCAATTTTTTGTTAGTTTTATTTTATTACCAATCGTTTAGCTTCATTGGTATTTGGTTAGTGAATTAAAATAACCACAAGCAATTATAAATGAAATACTATACAGCAAGAAACCCAATCTTACGTTCAAATTCTCATTAACAGAGTATGATACAATAATTTCCATTAATAATCTACTAATCTCACCATTTAACTCTTTTAGAAAGGTCTAGGGTAACGAAATAGTTATCTTTCATAAGTGACATGAATTACCAGACTTCAGGAAACTAATGGCAAAGGCAAGACAATAGACTTGGTATAAAGTTTTAGTTTAAGCTAGGAGCTTTGGGTTGAAGACCCGTACCGAGTCAGAGCTAGGAGCTGACTGACTCACTCAACTACTTCATAGTATGACTTCAGCTCGGCCAGAAGGCGACGCGTGGCGTCAATTCTAGAACCACCAATTGGTCACTACAGTAGTGGTTACACATTCGTAATACCTAACCTAATAATAATATATAATATTATAATTATAATAATCATGGGGAAAGATATAATATAATACAGTATAATACAATGAGAGTACTTTTGATGATTCATACTGTACCCGATAATAATATATAGTCGAACCTGCTTTATCTAGCTAGTAATAAAGTGGTTTGCGATATATTATTACAGAACTTATTTTAACCAGGCCTTTTACTTTTGTATATAATGGAGTGAAGTAGGGGCGCGTAACACTCCACTACTGCTTCAACCCTCGTATTTTTGTACAATTTCCTTCTTCAATTCTATTGTATTTATTATTATTATTATTATTATTATTATTATTATTACTATTATTATTATTGTTATTATTACTATTGTTATTATTAGCAGTAGCAAAAATGTTTGATTCTTTGCTGTGTTCAAGAGTAAACACATGATGTCACCGTCCAATACCTGTCCAAATAGCCATTCCAATATGCAGTCATGAATGGGTTTACATTATTTATACTGTAGTTTAATAGCAAATAATGAACAAACAAAACACTCACCACACAGTGGTGGGAGGGCTGGCTGCCAGTTGTGGGGGTTGGAGGGAGGGAAGTAGGGACTCGCAGGTGGTGGGGAACTTAAATATGATTTGGCGGCTGGGAATTTGGTGGCTGGGAATTTAGCGGTTGGGAATTCGCGAATGTGTGAAGCCCGCGAAAGTTGAAAACGCGAATGTTGAGGGAGACCTGTATAAATAAATAATAAATAATCCTTCCTCCGTAAGCCATGCATGTCATAAAATTTAATGCTGGGAGCAAGGAGCTAGTAACCCTTTCTCTTGTATAAGTTGCTACATGTAAAAAGAAGAAAAACTTTACATCTCGGTGGGAGATGGCCGTTGTCTTAAAAAAAAAAAATAATAATAATAAACTTAATTAAGTGTTAAACACTATTTAGCACTATCGTAATAGACCTGAGAATATTTTGTTCTGTATTTCCAAAGTCCTTTAAACTGAGATCTATTAAGTCGATGATTTACTGTATTTTTGCAAACTTGACTGCAATGTGTAAATAAATTCAAAGCCATAAACTCTTTCTTTGTATTGCTTTTTGCTTAACTTTTGATTTTCCAATAAACACCTATCACACAAACACTGACTTCTAAATATAACAAGGCTTGACTTACTGAGTAGTTTTTCGGAGTCCTTTCCATTTTTCTGGCTTCTTGAGCCTGGAGTGTTTTCTTTGGAAAATTTCACACCGATCTTTTTCTTGGTCTTCTGTGAAAAATAAGATATACAGAAACTTGCATAAATTAATAGCAAACCTATGTACAAAAGATCCAAAGGCTTTTTAGTGACCTTCCATCAAATACTGTATACTGTACTGGAAATTACCAACAGACCTTTATTCTGAGGAGTCTTGCAAATTCCTTCAAAAGAACTTTAAATACAGTATATTACATACTGTATTAGCCTACTTGTCTAACATTTTATCTTCCTACAAGTAATATTCATGCATGATTACAATGATCCTTAACATAACCTACTATCAAATGCTGTACTTTCTTTATACCAGCCAATACCTTGACCAAAATTTACAATAAAGTACAATACAGCAAACTTCTTAAAAATATCTTTAGAAATAATAACAACACTATTCAAAAATCCTCAACAATGACAATATCTATGCTCTACTAGAAATTTTCAGTGTTATATTTTCATTCATACTCTTAACAGATAAATTCATCATTAAAAACCTGGATAAATAGCCATTCACAATTGTAACCTAATAAAATATATGTACTGTGCACTGAATACAGAAGCTGAATATAAAAATGGAGAACCTACAACTACAGTACATAAAACAATATGAATTATATACTGTGCACAGTACTGGTGTACCCAACATTAATACCATAGTCCCCCCAAATTCACAGGGGCTACATTCTAAGACCACCCATGAATTTGGAAAAACCGCAAATTCTGGAGGCAGTTAAAAAAATGCCTATAAATGCCTATTTTTATAGTATAAACCCTGAATATGCCCCAAAACACTTGAATTTAATTTCAAACTCAGCTTCATACATCACCCTTCAAAAAAAAAAAAAATTAAATAAATCTGTATACAGTACTGTACTGCTATGTCTCCCGCAGTGATAGAATGTAAAATCCCGATGTTACCCCCATGTGTACTGTAAAATAACTAACATCAAACTTACTTTCCGCCAGGCTAACACTCTTCGCACTAATCTCATTCATACCTCTCCTCCCTTTACTGATGCTCCTGGTATCTACTCTTATTTCTTGTTCCTCCTGTCCTCTTTAATACTTTGGAGAAACTGGTCGATCTCTTTCTGACAGACTTAGGGAGCACAAAAATAGCGTTAGGCTTGCTGACACTAACAATGCTCTTTTCTGTCACATCAGAGATCACAGCCATCCTATTGACTGGTCTTCTGCTAAAACTGTCTTCCCTACTTCCAACTTTAACAGTCATAATTTGGTTGAATCCTCCCTAATATGCAACTTTCCTTGTATGAATCTTAGCCCTGGCTTCGTCTCTGTAGATGCCTTCCTCTCCCACTACATTGTAAAATGCTCCAAACTTCAGAACACTCGTGACCTAACCTGATTCCTCCTTTTTTCTTCTCCCACTTCCCCTTTCCTCTTTCCTTTTTCTCCTTTGGGTTGTCTTTCTTCTGCCCTATGTATTTGTTCCTTTTTTTTATTTATTTATTTGTTTCCCCCCCCCTCGGTGCTCTTGCTCTTACCCTCTTTGGGCACCAGCTCCCTTGCAGTGCTCCTCTTTCTTAGTATTTGACTGGCCCCTCCTACTCTTACTACCTCCCCACTACTACTTCCTTCCCTCCACTACTACCACTACTACTACTACTACCACCACCTCCTGCCAAGTCGGACCGAAATGTCGTCATAAGCTCCTCTCTTCTATGTGTGGGTTATTTGTGTATTGTGTAGTGTACTGTAATTCATGCAAGCCCGGTTTCTTTGGTATTCATATGTTAAATATACGGTAATAATTTAATTTAGTAAAAGTATTATATTTCATATGGAAATTTTGCTGAATTTATGTTACAAAATTTAATTTTCTTAATATTTAGTGTTAAAATGCATAAAAAATTATATATTGCCACAAAAAAAAAAAAAAAAATCAGCGAATTTGTGGGAATTTCTATGAACAATTATTAGTCTGGTTCTATGGAAAAATCCACGAATTACTGAAGCTGCAAATTCAGAACCGCGAATTCATGGAGGTCCACTGTAATAATCATTACCATAATTAGCAAATAGCAAATTGGCAAGAAAGAAGGAAAGGGGTAAGGAACAAGAGAGGAGGGGGAAAAGGAAGAGGAGGAAAGGAAAGAGGAAAGAAAAGGAGAAGGGAAACAAAGGAAGAAGAGGAAGGAAAAAGAAGAAGAGGAAGGGAAAAAGGAAGAAGAGGAAGGAAAAAGGAAGAAGAGGAAGGAAAAAGGAAGAAGAGGAAGGGAAAAAGGAAGAAGAGGAAGGAAAAAGGAAAAGAGGAAGGAAAAAAGGAAAAGAAGGGAAAAAGGAAGAAGAGGAAGGGAAAAAGGAAGAAGAGGAAGGGAAAAAGGAAGAAGAGGAAGGGAAAAAGGAAGAAGAGGAAGGGAAAAATGGAAGAAGAGGAAGGGAAAAAGGAAGAAGAGGAAGGAAAAAGGAAGAAGAGGAAGGAAAAAGAAGAGGAAGAAGGGGAAATGGAAAGGCAAAAGGAAGGAGAAAGTGGAAGGAAAGGGGAGAAATAAGGAGGAAGGGAGTGGCTAAGGAGGAAAGAGAAAGTAAAAAGAAAAGTAAGGGGGTTAAGTAGTGAGGTAAGAGGAAGGGAGAAGAGGAAAGGGGGAGGAAGAAGGGGTGAAGGAGAAGGGGAGAAGAGTAAGAAGGAAGGGAAGAATTAAGGAGTGAGTGAGGTAAGGAAGGAATGAGTAGAGTAAGGAAGGAAGGGATGAGTGAGGCAAGGAAGGAGTGAGGCAAGGAAGGAGTGAGTGAGGCAAGGAAGGAGTGAGTGAGGCAAGGAAGGAGTGAGTGAGGCAAGGAAGGAGTGAGTGAGGTAAGGAAGGAGTGAGTGAGGTAAGGAAGAAGTGAGGTAACAAAGGAGTGAGGTAGGGAAGGGGATAAGATAAGATAAGATTTCGTTCGGATTTTTAACCCCGGAGGGTTAGCCACCCAGGATAACCCAAGAAAGTCAGTGCGTCATCGAGGACTGTCTAACTTATTTCCATTGGGGTCCTTAATCTTGTCCCCCAGGATGCGACCCACACCAGTCGACTAACACCCAGGTACCTATTTGCTGCTAGGTGAACAGGACAACAGGTGTAAGGAAACGTGTCGGAATTTCCACCCGCCGGGAATTGAACCCGGGCCCTCGGTGTGTGAAGTGGGAGTTTTAGCCACCACACCACCGGGCTCCTCAGCCACCAGAGATAAGGAAGGAGTGAGTGAGGAAAGGAGTGAGTGAGGCAAGGAAGTGAGTGAGGCAAGGGAAAGTGAGTGAGGCAAGGAGTGAGTGAGGCATAGGAGTAGTGAGGAAAGGAGGAGTGAGGGTACGGAAGGTGAGGTAAGGAAGGTGAGAGGTACGGAAGGTGAGAGGTACGGAAGGTGAGAGGTACGGAAGGTGAGAGGTACGGAAGGTGAGAGGTACGGAAGGTGAGAGGTACGGAAGGTGAGAGGTACGGAAGGTGAGAGGTACGGAAGGTGAAGGTACGGAAGGTGAGAGGTACGGTGAGAGGTAGGAAGGTAAGGTACGGAGTGAGTAAGGTAGAGGAGGAAGGAGGCGAAGGTGAGAGACGTAAGATAAGGAAGAAGGGGCAAGGAAAGAAGGAAGTATGGAAGGGAAGAGAGGAGGTGAGGAAAGGAAGAATAAGGAAAGGGAAAGGGAAGGCGGGAAGGGTATGGAGGAAGTAAGGAAGGAAGAAGGGGGCGAGGTAAGGAGGAAGTAAGGTAAGGAAGAAGGGGCGAGGTATGGGGGAAGTAAGGTAAGGAAGAAGGGGGCGAGGTATGGAGGAAGTAAGGTAAGGAAAAGGGGGGAGGTAGGAGGAAGTAAGGAAAGGAAGAAGGGGGCGAGGTATGGAGGAAGTAAGGTAAGGAAGAAGGGGGCGAGGTAGGAGAAGTAAGGTAAGGAAGAAGGGGGCGAGGTATGGAGGAAGTAAGGTAAGAAGAAGGGGGGCGAGGTATGGAGGAAGTAAGGCAAGGAAGAAGGGGTCGAGGTAAGAAAGAACTAAGGTAAGAAGGAAGGGGGCGAGGTAAGGAAGAACTAAGGTAAGAAGGATGGGGGCGAGGTAAGGAAGAACTAAGGTAAGAAGGAAGGGGTCGAGGTAAGGAAGAACTAAGGTAAAAAGGGAAGGGGGGGCGAGGTAAGAAAGAACTAAGGTAAGAAGGAAGGTAAGGTAAGAAGGAAGAGCAGTAGAGGTGTAAGCATCTGGTGCAGCTGGCTGGCTGAAGATCCCGTTACTCGGCCTGTCACCCTTACATCCTCCTCCTCACCACCCTACACCCTGTCACACCTCCATGTCACCCTAACCCACAACCCCACACACCCACCACCCCTACCACACACCCACCACAACCCAAAATCTGCCAGAAAACCTTCCCCCAAGACACCAACACTGTATTTACCCCCGGCTCAGACTTGCCACACTTACCTTCACCCTCTACGGCAGGCCAGAAGTAGAAGGTACAAGGTAGAAGCACTAATCCTAGGAAGCTAGTGAGGAAGTAGAAGAAGGTAGAGCCTGATTCATCGTACTCAAACTTCATGCCAGCCATGGTGAGCCCTGAGCACCTCACTCTCACACACTCACACACACACACTCAGCCTGCTGGCCAAATGAGCCTCCGTGGCACTTACTATACTCCTATCTCAAACTTTTTACAAGCCTTTTATATAAGTAACTAATTAAGTTTGTTTATTTAGGTATATGTACACATAAATGCTGTTAACGCAAATTATCATATATAGTAACGTGTGTGTGAATTACCTAGGATAACCCTCAAAAAAAGTCAGTCAAGCTGACTAATTTCAATTAGATTTTAATTTTGACAGTGGCCTTCAACGCCCATACACTTTATAAGCATATATATTTAATACATTATATGAATTTAAACTAGAATAAAGCCATAAATTCGAACACTTTTTCTTATTTCCATTTACGTCAGTCCCTCTTATTTATTCACTCACATCTACATACATAAATGTACCTTTAAATTAAAAATATGAAAATATCAACTTTACATATACAATTTCAAGCAGGTATATATATATATATATTTTCAAGATATATATTAACTTACGTTCATGGTGTACGATAATTAACCTATGTATGATACCACTTAGCAAATATCAAAGGATTTTTAACCAGATTTACATACATATGGTTTCTTAAAACACTATTAATTTCAGCAATTATTTTCTAACCAAAGCGTTTTTTACCTATATTTCAATACGAATAACAAATTAAAAATAACTAGATGGACAATTTAATGAAAATGGGAGTGTACAGGTACACGTAAATACAGTTATCATATATAGTAATATATGTGTGTAAATTACTTAAGTTAGCTGAAAAAATGGCCAGACAAAGTGACTTATTTCCATTGGACACAACTGTGCTCCTGTAGCTACAACTCGTGGCTCAACTGGTAGCGGCTTCAGTTCATACATTCAGAGGTCGGGATTCGATTACCAGATGAGAGGAACCTGGAGGTCGCTATCTACCTACCTACCTGGAGTCTACCTGAAGGTCGCTACCTACCTGGAGGTCGCTACCTACCTGGAGTCTACCTGGAGGTCGCTACCTACCTGGAGTCTACCTGGAGGTCGCTACCTACCTGGAGTCTACCTGGAGGTCGCTACCTACCTACCTACCTACATGGAGTCTACCTGGAGGTCGCTACCTACCTACCTGGAGGTCGTTACCTACCTACCTGGAGGTCGCTACCTACCTACCTGGAGTCTACCTGGAGGTCGCTACCTACCTGGAGTCTACCTGAAGGTCGCTACCTACCTGGAGTCTACCTGAAGGTCGCTACCTACCTGGAGTCTACCTGAAGGTCGCTACCTACCTGGAGTCTACCTGAAGGTCGCTACCTTCCTGGAGTCTACCTGAAAGTCGCTACCTACCTACCTGGAGTCTACCTGGAGGTCGCTGCCTACTTGGAGTCTACCTGAAGGTCGCTACCTTCCTGGAGTCTATCTGAAGGTCGCTACCTACCTGGAGTCTACCTGAAGGTCATTACCTACCTGGAGTCTACATGAAGGTCGCTACCTGCCTGGAGTCTACCTGAAGGTCGCTACCTTACTGGAGTCTACCTGAAGGTCGCTACCTTTCTGGAGTCTATCTGAAGGTTGCTACCTACCTGGAATCTACCTGAAGGTCGCTACCTACCCGGAGTCTACCTGAAGGTCGCTACTACCTACCCGGGGTCTACCTGAAGGTCGCTACCTACCCGGAGTCTACCTGAAGGTCGCTACCTACCTGGAGTCTACCTGAAGGTCGCTACCTACCTGGAGTCTACCTGAAGGTCGCTACCTTCCTGGAGTCTACCTGAAGGTCGCTACCTTCCTGGAGTCTACCCGAAGGTCGCTACCTACCTGGAGTCTACCTGAAGGTCGCTACCTTCCTGGAGTCTATCTGAAGGTCGCTACCTATCTGGAGTCTATCTGAAGGTCGCTACCTACCCGGAGTCTACCTGAAGGTCGCTACCTACCTGGAGTCTACCTGAAGGTCGCTACCTACCTGGAGTCTACCTGTAGGTCGCTACCTTCCTGGAGTCTACCTGAAGGTACCTACCTACCAGGAGTCTACTTGAAGGTTGCTACCTGCCTACCTGGAGGTCGCTACCTACCTTTCTACCTGGAGTATACCTGGAGGTCCTCCCGAGGGTCAACACCTCCGCGATCCAGTCCTTGACCAGGTCTCCCGGTGGATGAGGGTCTGATCAACCAGGCTGTTACTGCTGGTTGGACCTCTTCCTAGGAAGAGGATGTAAGGTTCATAATCTGGGATTTTCTTCCACATTTGATGCCTGTGAAGTTCTTTAAGATCCACGGTCCTAGAACTACTCTTCCCCTCCTCGGCTTAAATCTGATTGCCTTCCTTTCCCCCAGGCACTAAATGACCCTTATGGGTTTATCGCTTCTCCACCACTGAGCTACATCCGCACATTTAACGTTACGGAGGATTCCATTTTGCCGGCCATAACTGACCTTGTTATTAATATTACTGGGCATAAATAACAGCTTGAAACAACGTGTTGAAGATTATTTTGTTAGAATTAACAACCCGAAGGGTTAGTAACCCAGAATAAACAATATAGACATATTAGAATATCTAGACTATTTCAATTCTGGGTCCTTAAAAGCATGTTTAGATTTTTTTTGGCAATAAAGACTGTTCTTGCCTGTTTGTTTTTACCCTGGAGAAATTTGCACAACGTCCCCTTCTGTTGTGCGTTCCTGCACGGACCAGACATCAAATTTGTGTATTCTCTCCTCGTAGGTTGATCCCTCGCCTCAGGCACCAGTCTGCATGTATAAAACGGTGTCTGGCGTGTGGATGGCATGTATTACTTCATTGTATTCATGACTAACAAAATCGTAATAAACGTTTGCAAACAAATCACAGAACGGGTGGGGTTCGAACCTATGGCCTGTGACTTTTAGGACTCACGTGCCATGGGTTCAAATCCCACCCGTTCCCTGATTTGATTTGGTGTAGTTAGAGGAGCAGAAGTATGCTCATCGTGCCTCGTCTTTCAGTGTAAGTTGCTAGTGGTTGTATTTATGACTCTCCCGCAAGGAGTTATGGTCAGAGTTTTAATCATTTTTTATGTGGTATCAGGGGCTGGGCCGCGAAGTTTTGATAGTTGAACAAAGTTACAAAGGTAATGAACCATTCACGCGTCTACACCTGATCAGAGGTAATGCCGGAAATCTTCTCTCAATGCATACACGGACTAGGGAGCAACGTGTTGCCGTTCACTGACTACGATTTGGATTCATGACCTCAGCGCATATCGTCGAGCAACGAAGCAGCGAGTGGTGTGCCCACTGTGAACATCAGTTAGTTTAATTAATATCTTTATTATGCACCCAATACCCATCCTGTGGGAGGTAGTCAAAAGATTACAGAGGTACATAATGGGTCCAGGGACTGGACCCTAGCAGATGGTTGAGTTCCCATCTGTGCATTACCTGGTGGGCTGTCCTGCCACGACGCCTCGACGCAACCTCCTCTTCCTCCCACAGCAGACTGCCGGACAGACCCGGAAAGACAGGGACTCGCACCTTGTGTATCTTGTAGTCAAGAATTTGGATTATTATTATTATTATAATCAAGGGGAAGCGCTAAACCCGGAGGATTATACAGCGCCTGGGGGGGGATGTGGAAGGCATTCAGGCTTAATTCGGGGAACTGGAGGACAGATCCAATTCCCTAAATCAAGAGCCCCTCACCAACATCAAGGAACCTTCCTTGAGGGGTCAAGAATTTGGAGTATACCAGGAGAGGGCTTCGGGGGTCAACGCCCCCGTGGCCCGGTCTGTGACCAGGCCTCATGGTGGATCAGGGCCTGATCAACCAGGCTGTTACTGTTGGCCGCACACAACCCGACGTACGAACCACAGCCCGGCTGGTCAGGTACTGATTTTAGATGCCTGTCTAGCGCCTTCTTGAAGATAGCCAGGGGTCTATTGGTAATCCTCCTTATGTATGCTGGGAGGCAGCTGAACAGTCTTAGGCTCCTCCATGTTGCTCCCGGTCATCGCTTGTCACCTGCCGCCTCGATAAAAAAAAAACTGATGACACAAATAAATGTTGTTTGTTGTAGGCAGGACAGTGTGACCAACAGTGTACAATCAGTGTGTAGGGAAGTGCCCCTCACCCCTCTCCCCCGGGCATGCTCCATGTGTAGTAAACACTGACCCTCTCATAACCCCTCACCCCTGCGCCTCAGCCATACAACTCTCCCACCTTACCCACCCAACTTTCAGCGCCACCCCAAATGTAGAGGGTACTTTTTCCCTCCCAGCCCACGATGTCAGCGATAGCAAAGGGTGTGCGGCTCACAGGAACTTCCACTGCAGAAAAAAAAGGCAATAGCAAACAGTATGCATCCTTCCAATTCAGTGACACACCGGTATACAGCTGATATAGCGGTGTGCAATTGACGGGCAGGAAGTATACCTATCTCATGAATTCAACTTTACTACGAATTACACAACATACACATACGCGTATTTAAATTGCACCAAAGTGGATAGGCCACTCACCTTTAAAACCCCACCACCCTCCCAAACCTTTCCAACATTCCATCCTTCTTCCTCCCTCATCTGGTCAGAACCTCACCTCACCTTCCACTACAGGGACAGCGCCGTGGAGTTCGACCGCGAGGCAGCTATCAGGTGTGCCACAGACAGTGTCCACTCAGTTCTTAAGTTTCAACATCCGTGCGCACGGTGGATGCCTGGGCACCCGGAGGGCTCCAGGTGGGAACAACCAACAGCCACCCTCCCAGCAGACAGAGGTAACTGGCGCGCCTTCACCTTTACAGAGGGCCTGGAATCTGCAATCAAATTGGCGTCCACCAGGACTTTGACACGTCCCCAGGGCAGCTCTTCCTCGGGCTGCTAGCGGAGTCGCTGACCTCTTGGGGAGGGTCGTTGGCGCTCCTGCAAGCAGCAGATCCTGACGCAACCTGCTGATGTTTGCAATGGCTGTCTGGCTGTTCTGCCGAGGAGGGGTAGGCACCTAGCAACATCTGTTGTTGGGGCAATGATACATTCCCTAGAATGTTTGTTAATTGCTCATTACTCTGTAATTTGTTTATGATTGTAACCATGTACGGGCGTGTTTATGATTCATTACCTTTGTAACCTGTCATGAGTGTGAGCAGCTTTACTGGAGCTCGTTACCTTTGTAACTTGGTCATGATTGTAACCAGATCTAGTTCATTACCTTTGTAGCTTGTTCAGCTATCAAAACTTTGGGGTCCAGTCCCTGGACCCATTATGTACCTCTAATCTTTTGACTACCACCCACAGGATGGGTATGGGATGCATAATAAACATATTAAGTAAGTAAACTAAACTAAACTCCAGTCACGGTATTGTGCCTTTTTGTATTTTTTTCTAGAAAGATTATTATTATTATTATTATTATTATTATTATATAGATAAGTGCTTTATCCATAGGGGCTATACAACTCCCGGAAAATGGGAGTGGGGAGAAAATCAAGTTTAATCCGAGGAAGGAAAGGAATGCTCCAGTTCCTGTGATCAAAATCCATCCCCAGTATCCAGGCACCGGCCGCCATGAGTTACTATGGTAAGCGTTTTCCATGATTAATAATTTTCCCAAACGTGGCTCCATGATCAGGATTCTCAATAAACTAATGAGCATTATTATTATTATTATAATCAAAAAGAAGCGCTAAGCCACAAACTAATGAGCAAAAAAAAAAAAAAAAAAAAAAAAAAAAAAAATTAAAACCAAAAGTTTGAATTTTGGAAAACATGGGATCACTGAAGACAAGGTTTCCAGCCGTACGATAATTATCGTACATGTACGAAAATTTTTTTTATGGTATAAATCGAAGAGTGATTTATATTGAATACTGCTCAGTAATTTAATGTTCCTCATACAGGATATATATACACCGAAAAGTGTATTTCTCTCATCATCTATATCTGAGACGCTCTCGCCTCACACACTGAGTGTCCGTGGTTCAATCCCCGGCACGGGTGAACACATTGGGCATGTTTTCTTATATCTGCTGTACCTGTTCACCTAGCAGTATGTAGGTACCTGGGTGTTAGTCCACAATGGAAATAAAACAGTCTTCGATGATGCACTGACTGTCTTGGGTTATTCAGGGTGACTAACACTCCAGGTTAAAAATCCCATCAAAATCTTGTCTCATAATTACCAGCAACCTTAGTGACCCTCGTGTGGTAGATAGGCTTCAAACTCCATTGACCAACCATTGAAAAGATTATATTTTTATCTGAAGCTTGGAGATTTATACCTTGTTTAAAGCAATGGAGGATAAAGAATTAAAATGAAGATTTTAGGGATAATAATGATTTCTTGCAGTTTTAAATTTTTCATAACTGATTTATTGATCTGTGTTAATTTTAGTATAAATGAAGAGATGTATGTATGTATTTTTATGATTTAACAGAGACGCCAATGGAAGTAAGTCACAGTGACTATATCTGGAGAGGGTTTCGGGGGTCAACGCCCCCGCGGCCCGGTCTGTGACCAGACCTCATGGGGGATCAGGGCCTGATCAACCAGGCTGTTACTGTTGGCCGCACGCAAACCGACGTAGGAACCACATGACAGGATGGATAATGAGAACCTTCAAAACTAAGGAGGCCAAGCCCATGATACTCTTCAGGTCACTTGTTTTATCTAGGCTGGAATATTGCTGCACACTAACAGCACCTTTCAAGGCAGGTGAAATTGCTGACCTAGAAAATGTACAGAGAACCTTCACGGCGCGCATAACTGACATAAAACACCTCAATTACTGGGAACACTTGAAGTTCCTGAACCTGTATTACGTAGAACACAGGAGGAGAGAAATATGATTATATACACCTGGAAAATCCTAGAGGGACTAGTACCGAACTTGCACACGAAAATAACTCACAACGAAAGCAAAAGACTTGGCAGACGATGCAACATCCCCCCAATGAAACACAGGGGTGTCACTAGCACGTTAAGAGACAATACAATAAGTGTCAGGGGCCCGAGACTGTTCAACTGCCTCCCAGCATACATAAGGGGAATTACCAGCAGACCCCTGGCTGTCTTCAAGCTGGCACTGGACAAGCACCTAAAGTCGGTACCTGACCAGCTGGGCTGTGGCTCATACGTTGGATTGCGTGCAGCCAGCAGTAACAGCCTGGTTGATCAGGTTCTGATCCACCAGGAGGCCTGGTCACAGACCGGGCAGCGGGGGCGTTGACCCCCGGAACTCTCTCCAGGTAAACTCCAGGTATTTATTCACCTACTATTACTTGTTTGACTTACTAAGTTATTCGCCTACTCTTGTTTGCTTGTTTGACTTACTTATTTACTGCCTCTGAGTCAATGGTTGTAGTGTACAACAACTTGTGTAGAGAGTGTACGAGGTATTAGTACTGTTGAAAATGGTGTAAAATACCGTCAAGGTGAAGGTAACGACACATGTGCAACAGTTGGTAACTTTATTGGTGAAATGTTTCACCTACACAGTAGGCTCCTTCAGTCAAATACAGAGGCAGCAGATGTAGTAGTGAAATGAAGATGATGTAATCAGGCCATTAACTTTGGAGAAAAGGTATTTGAGGTGGTCAGTCCGTCAGTTTGATGACCACCTCAAATACTTTTTCTCCAGGGCTGATGGACTGATTACATCTTTATTTTTACTACTACATCTGTATTTGACTGAAGAAGTCTACCGTGTAGGTGAAACGTTACATCAATAAAGATACCCAAGTATTGTACTTGTGTTAATGTTGTAGTGGTGATGGTGCAGCACCTGGCGTCCTCCACGCCGCCATGAAAGTTGTTCCTCACGTCTTATTTCAGATTTCTGTGGTCATGAATGAGGTAGGCTCTAAGCTTGATGTTATATTGGAGGGTATCCGTCAGTCTGAGGATTACCTGCTGCAGAAGAAGAGGAAGATAAATCAAGGTTAGTACAACTGAACCTGTTTCAAGTTTTGTCCCCTCAAGGAAGGTTCCTTGATGTTGGTGAGGGGCTCTTGATTTAGGGAATTGGATCTGTCCTCCAGTTCCCCGAATTAAGCCTGAATGCCTTCCACATCCTCCCCCCCAGACGCTGTATAATCCTCCGGGTTTAGCGCTTCCCCCTTGATTATAATAATAATAATAATTCAAGTTTTGTCAATCGTAGCAGAAAATATGGAAGTTGTTATATTTTTTAAAACTAGTTTTTTTTCCATTTTTCTAGTATACTATTTCTAAACACTTATTGGCACTATGTGTGATATTGGAGTTAAATAATTGAGCATTGATAAAATATAATGTGAAATTGTTATATTTTTTTCACGAGGCTTCAACATGCTGATGGCGTCCTTGGAAAATATGTATACCTGGTGAGGGTTCCGGGGGTCAACGCCCCCGCTGCCCGGTCTGTGACCAGGCCTCCTGGTGGATCAGAGCCAGATCAACCAGGCTGTTACTGCTGGCTGCACGCAAACCAACGTACGAGCCACAGCCTGGCTGGTCAGGAACCAACTTTAAGTGCTTGTCCAGTGCCAGCTTGAAGACTGCCAGGGATCTGTTGGTAATCCTCCTTATGTATGCTGGGAGGCAGTTGAACAGTCTCGGGCCCTTGACACTTATTGTATGGTCTCTTACGTGCTAGTGACACCCCTGCTTTTCATTGAGGGGATGTTGCATCGTCTGCCAAGTCTTTTGCTTTCGTAGTGAGTGATTTTCGTGTGCAAGTTCGGTACTAGTCCCTCTAGGACTTTCCACATGTATATAATCATGTATCTCTCCCGCCTGCATTCCAGGGAATACAGGTTTAGGAACCTCCAGTGCTCCCAGTAATTGAGGTGTTTTATCTCCGTTATGCGCGCCGTGAAGGTTCTCTGTACATTTTCTAGGTCAGCAATTTCACCTGCCTTGTAAGGTGCTGTTAGTGTGCAGCAATATTCCAGCCTAGATAGAACAAGTGACCTGAAGAGTGTCATCATGGGCTTGGCCTCCCTAGTTTTGAACGTTCTCATTATCCATCCTGTCATTTTTCTAGCAGATGCGATTGATACAATGTTATGGTCCTTGAAGGTGAGATTCTCTGACATTATCACTTCCAGGACTTTTACATTAGGATTTGGCTCTATTGTGTGGTTGGAATTTGTTTTATACTCTTATTTAGTTTTAATTTTCTCACTTTTTCATATCAGAGTAGTTGAAATTTTTCATCATTGAACTTCATATTTTTTTCTGCGGTCCATTTGAAGATTTGGTTGATGTCCGCCTGGATTATTGTAAGATCGCCAATCACCTGGATACCCATGAGTTACACAACCCAGGGCAACATGGGTTTAGAGCAGGTCGCTCCTGCCTGTCTCAATTACTGGACCACTATGACAAGGTCCTGGATGCTGTAGAGGATAAACAAAATAGAGATGTAGTATACACAGACTTTGCAAAAGCTTTTGACAAGTGTGACCATAGTGTAATAGCGCACAAAATGCGTGATAAGGAATAACAGGAAAAGTTGGTAGATGGATCTACAACTTCCTGACAAATAGAACACAAAGAATAATAGTAAACAGTAAAGTCTGAGGCAGCTACGGTGAAAAGCTCTTCAACAAGGCACAGTGCTCACTCCCATTCTATTCCTCATCCTCATATCTGACTTAGACAGAGATGTAAGCCATAGCTCTGTGTCTTCCTTTGTGGATGACACCCAGATTGACATGACAGTGACCATCGAAGACACTGCAAGACTCCAAACAGACAAACCAAATCTTCAAATGGGCCATTCAAAACTATGAAGCTCAGTGAATGGAGATTTCAACTACTCAGATATGGAAAACTTGAGGAAATTAAAACTGTATCAGGATATACAACAAATTCTAATCATACAATAGAGCAAAAAAGTAATGTGAAGGACCTGGGAGTGATAATGCCAGAGGATCTTGCCTTCAAAGACCACAACAATGTATCAATCGCATCTGCTAGGAAAATGATAGGATGGATAATGAGAACCTTCAAAACTAGGGATGCCAAGCCCATGATGATTCTCTTCAAATTGCTTGTTCTCTCTAGGCTGGAATACTGTTGTACACTAACTGCCCCTTTCAAGGCAGGTGAAATTGCTGACCTGGAAAGTGTACAAAGAACTTTTACGGCACACATAAGTACAATAAGGTACCTAAATTACTGGGAGCGGTTGAAGGCCCTTGATTTGTTTTCCCTGGAGAGCAGACAAGAGAGATACATGGTAATATACACTTGGAAAATCCTAGAGGGATTAGTACCAAACTTGCACATGAAAATCACTCCCTACAAAGCAAAAGACTCGGCAGGAGATGCAACATTTCCCCACTGAAAAGGAGGGGTGCCATGTTACACTGAGAGGCAACACAATAAGAGTCCGGGGCCCAAGGCTGTTCAACTGCCTCCCAGCATACATAAAGGGGATTACCAGTAGACCCCTGGCTGTCTTCAAGAAGGCACTGGACAGGCACCTAAAGTCAGTACCTGACCAACCGGGCTGTGGTTCGTACGTTAGTTTGCGTGCAGCCAGCAGTAACAGCCTGGTTGATCAGACCCTGATCCGCCATGAGACCTGGTCTCAGACCAAGCTGTGGGTGCATTGACCCCTGAAACCCTCTCCAGGTAAACTCCAGGTGTCTTCAATGGAGGACACTATCATGCAAATTCGGGTGTCATCTGCAAAGGAAGACATGGTGCTGTGGCTTACATCCCTGTTTGTGTCACATATGAGGATGAGGAGCAGAATGGGAGGGAGTACTATGCTTTGTGGAAGAAAGCTTTTCGCAGTAGCCACCTAAGACTTTACTCTGTTTTCTACTATTTGTGTTCTATTTGTTAGGAAATTATAGAGCCATCTACCAACTTCTCCTTTATCGCGCATTTTGTGCGCTATTATGCCATGGTCACACTTGTCAAAGGCTTTTTGCAAAGTCTGTGTATAGTACATCTGTGTTTTGTTTGTCTTCTAGAGCATCCAGGACCTTGTCATAGTGGTTCAGTAGTCAGGACACCCAGAGGGTGTTCCAGGCATTGCACTGCCATCTACCAGGTGGTTTCTTCAATTGAATACAAAGTAGCTAAAACTGGAGATAGCTGCAGCAATTTAGATGTAGAGATGATGTGATCAGTGTATCAGCCTTGAAAAGTGTCCAGTATAAGAGACTGATTACCTCGAAACTACTTCAAGACTGATCACATAGTCTTTACCTCTAAGTTGAATCAATCAGTGCAGCACCTGGAACACCCAGAGGGCGTTCCAGGTGTTGCACTGCCTGCCAAGTCGTGGAAAAGAAGGTACCAAACTGTTGCATGTCTTACTCATCTACTTTACAGTAGAAAAGGTCAGGGATTTGTGAGACCAGGGAGTGTTGCATAAATCATACTCTTCTACTTGTGGGTAGGTAAGGTCAATTATTGTGAGAGTAAGAGTGTGGCATATGTCTTACTCATCTACTTATTGCACATGTATCTAATTCTTCAACTTGTTGGTGTTGTATACCAGTGATGTTACAATACAAATGCAGAGGTGACTATTGTATTGGTGACAGTTGAAGTAGTGGAGATTTTGAGGCATTCAGTCCTTCAGCCTGTCACTTTCAAGACTGAGGGACTGAACACTTCAGATCTCCACTTCTTCAACTGCCCTCCATATCCGCGGATTCCACTTCTGCAGATTCAACCAACTGTGGGTCGAAAATATTCAATCCATTAAAGGATATGATTCTCAAGTTCAATCCTTCAATGGAACGAAGCCTCCATGTCATCCGAGGAGGGATAACAACATGCCTACAACACTGCAAGATTTATTTGATGATACAAAGAAAAAGAAGAAACAGCTTCTATAAAAATGTTTCTAACTAAAGCATCTGCAGTTGTGAAGCCTCGACCTTCAGTACTTGAAGATCCTCAGTCCTCAACCGAAACAATACCATATAACTATTTACATAATATTTACATTGTATTAGGTATTATATACAATGTAGAGGTGATTTAAAATACAGTACATGTATAAGGGAGGATGTGTGTAGGTTATGTGCAGATACTATGCCATTTTCATATAAGGGACTTGAACATCTGCAGATTTTGGTATCCTCAGGGTGGGTGGGGGTGGGGGGTGTCCTGGAACCAATCCCTCCCTGTGGGGATTGGTTCCAGGACTTTTTTGTGTCCTTGAACCCATTGTACAAAAGACTCCCGTATCTGCAAGGGATACATTCCAATTCGAACTTTACTAAAAAATCATCTTATCTCTCAATACAACTTCTAATTAGTTATATTATGTGAACTCTAGACTTTTAAACATCTGCCAATCCATGATATATTACTGCCTGAACCATTAATTGTAATATTGTTTTTTATTATGTGCAACATCAAGATTATTATTACAGTATTATAAACCTCCACCTTGACTACCTTGCACTGGTATTAAGATTCAGTAAGATTGTAATAAAGTTAAGCACTATTATCTTGTCTAGTTTTAAGTAGTTACTATGTACTAGGATTAGTCTGCCCAATATGCCCCAGCATGATAGTGGCTTTCTTTGTACTTGGCAAACCAAAATTGTAATTACACATTGTAGCCTTTACAAAGAAATAAATCTTTTTCTTTATATAAATACAGATATAAACATTTATTTCCTTGTAAAGTTTACAATGTTAGGTTTACATGTTATGAGATTTTAATGGAAAAGATGGCCACTAACATGCCTAGGCACTTCAGGCAGACTGATACCAATTCTTATGCTATTTTGATATAGGTTATATTTGATCAGTACATTTGAGCATATTAATAGGTCTATAATTAGATACCTTCTCAGTTAGGTACATACATTATTAGGTTTAAAAAAGTTAGGTAGTTGAAATCATTTACTATTACAAATGGTAGATTTAGTAATAGGATTCGAATTTTCTTGGCATGATACATTGTTTCTATTAAAGCCATAATGGGAGAGTATCATAGACAAACTTTGGATTAACTTAAGATTTAATAGGGCTAATTTAAGATATGGTAGGCAATAGCTATACAGTAGACTCCTGACCACTGAAGGCATCGTCTAACGAAAAATTGCCTAACGAAGCTTTTTAATGTAAAAATTTTGGCCTGACCAACGATGAAAAACTCGACTAACAACATTTGTCCCGAACACGTCCACGTGTCCGTCTGGCCTGAGCACGCCTTAGCTGCCATGCCCTCAGTTAGTGTGCCAGTGTTTACAAGCCAGTGCGGTCGCTTCCACACATACATTCAGTACATTTTATATTCCAGTGTTTTTAGTGCTTGCAACTGCTAAATAAGCCACCATGGGCCCAAAGAAAGCTTCTAGTGCCAACCCTGTGGTAAAAAGGGTGAGAATTACAATCGAAATGAAGAAGGAGATAATCACAAAGTATGAAAGTGGAGTGTGTGTCTCCGAGCTCGCCAGGTTGTATAACAAACCCCAATCAACCCTCGCTACTATCTTGGCCAACAGAAAGGCAGTCAAGGAAGCTATTGTTGTGAAAGGTGCAAGTATGTTTTCAAAACAGAGATCGCAAGTACTCGAAGATGTTGAGAGACTGTTGTTGTTGTGGATAAACAAGAAACAGATATCAGGAGATAGTATCTCTCAATCAGTTATATATGAAAAGGCAAGGCAGTTGCATGACGATTTAATTAAAAAAATGCCTGCAACTAGTGGTGATGTTATTGAATTTAAGGCCAGCAAAGGTTGGTTTGAGAGATTTAAGAATTGTAGTGGCATACACAGTGTGGTAAGGCATGATGAGGCTGCCAGTTCGGACCAAAAAGCAGCTGGAAAAATATGTGGAGGAATTCAAGGAGTACATAGACACTGAAAAATTAAAACCCCAACAAGTGTTTAATTGTGATGAAACGGGCCTCTTTTGGAAGAAAATGCCAAACAGGACCTATATTTCACAGGAGGAAAAGGCACTGCCAGGACACAAGCCTGTGAAAGACAGGGTAACTCTCATGTTGTGTAGTAATGCTAGTGGGGTTTGCAAGTGAAGCCTCTACTCATGTATCACTCTGAAACTCCCAGAGTGTTCAAGAAAAACAATGTCGTCAAGGCTAATTTGTGTGTGATATGGAGGGCAAACAGTAAAGCATGGGTCACTAGGGACATTTTCTGATTGGTTTTATCATGTGTTTGGCCCAACTGTGAAAAATTACCTCCTGGAAAATAAATTTAGCCTCAAGTACCTGCTGGTATTAGACAATGCTCCTGCTCATCCTCAAGAGTTGCCAGAGCGAATTTCGGGGGAGTTGAGTTTTATCAAAGTGAAGTTCTTGCCTCCTAATACCACTCCTCTCCTCCAGCCCATGGACTGGCAGATCATTTCAGATTTCAAAAAAACTGTACACCAAAGCAATTTCAAAAGTGCTTTGAAGTGACCTCAGACACTCAATTGACCCAAAGAGACTTTTGGAAAGATCACTTTAGTATCCTCACTTGCATAAACCTTATAGGTAAGGCTTGGGAGGGAGTGACTGACAGGACCTTGAACTCTGCTTGGAGGAAATTGTGGCCAGAATGTGTACAAGAGAGGGATTTTGAAGGGTTTGGGGCTAACCCTGAGAAGCCTATGCCAGTTGTGGAGTCTATTTTGGCATTGGGGAAGTCCTTGGGGGTTGGAGGTTAGTGGGGAGGATGTGGAAGAGTTGGTGGAGGACGACGATGAAGAACTAACCACTGATGAGCTGCAAGAGCATCTGCAACAGCAAGAGGCCACAACTGAGGAAATTGCTTCAGAGGAGGGGAGAGAGAAATTGAGGAAGTTGCCTTCTTCAATGATTAAGGAAATTTGTACAATGTGGACAAAGGTGCAAACCTTTATAGATGAAAATCACTCTGACACGGGTATTGCAAGCCGTGCTGGTGACTTTTACAATGACAATGTTGTGCCCCATTTTAGGAAAATCTTAAAGGGACAAGAGGTACAAAGCTCTATGGACAGATTTTTGGTGCGACAGAGGTCCAGTGACTCTCAAGTTGTTCCAAGTGGCATTAAAAATAGAAGGGAAATAACCCTCGAAAAGGACTTGGTACCTAAAGTCCTTATGGAAGGGGATTCCCCTTCCAAACAATAATACATCTCCATCTCCCCTCCTCCCATCTCATCACTCATCACTACATCTTCAAACATCTTCAATAAAGGTAAGTGTCACTTATTCTTCATTTAGTACAGTATTTATTGTGCATGTATCCTTGTTTTTCCGTGTAGGAAAATGTATATTTCATGTGAAAAAAGTTTTTTTCCGTACTTTTGGGTGTCTGGAACGGATTATTAATTGGATTTCCATTATTTCTTATGGGGAAAATTAATTTGACTAACAATAAATTCACCTAAGGATAAGCTCTCTGGAACTGATTAATATCGTTGGTCGAGGGTCCACTGTATTTGGAATTGTATGTTTACAATCATTTGGGTGGGTGTAGGTGTAAGTTATGGGGGAATTACAGATAACAAGAGTAAGTCTATATTGTTTTGGATGTGTTCAGGATACAAAAAAGAGAATTGGGGGGTTTTCATTTGGTTAGCTGATGATGGGGTGTGTTATCTTTATCTTTTAAGGACTTGCCGTGGATACTCAAATCGCGGATAGTAGAAAACCCTATACATGTATAAATAAGTTCAATGCATACATATTACAAAGTTTAATTGATAAATTATACACAATAAGTGGAGAATTATTGCTTTTTCACTAATGGGAAGCACTTCATGGCTTCTCTTAGGCTTGAAGAATTGCCAGCTTTTCTACTTTTGCACTCTGGGGCCATTATTATGCAAAATTAAGAGGCATTTTTGGGCCACAGTAAACCGTGGATAACTGAAAACGCAGATACCGAATCAGTGGATACAGGGGTTCTGCTGTATTGTAGATATAAAAAGGACTTCAGAAAAAATATTTGGATTTTTTCTTGAAGCCATTTGGATAATACCCCATCTTTTCTAAGTGTGCATAAAGGTATTTTTTATTATGTAATATGGTGCAAATAGCTTCAAGGATGCATTGATGGTACAAAGACCTTCAAATATAAAATATGAAGCCACAATTCCCCGTGGCCTGGTGGCAAAAGCTCTCGCTTCATACAGTAAGGGTCTTGGTTCGATTCGAAGTGAGGGTTGAAACACTGGATGTGTTTCCTTACACTGGTTGTCCATGTTCACCCATCAGTGAAAACTGGGTACCTGGGTGTTAGTTGACTGGTGTGGGTCTCATCCTGGAACAAAACTGACCTAATTTGCCCAAAATATTCTGCATAAAAAGCAGCTTTATATATAGTAGTGTCATTGACATCAGCTAGGCTTGTATACCTTGTACATGTACTTGTAGAAATAGATATTATTATTATTATTATTATTATTATTATTATTATTATTATTATTATTATTATTATTATTATTGTTGTTATTAAATTAAAACTTATCTTTCCACAGTTTAGGAGCATGCAAAGTCTAAAAACTTGCCTTTCCACAGTGGAGGAGCATGCAAAGTCTAAACAAAACCTTTTCTTTCCACAGTGGAAGAGAAGATAGCACTTCAGTGCACAGTGGGTGCCAAGGTTAAGAAGGAAATCAGTCAGCTGCAGGAGGAGCTGAAGGCCACCAAACTGCAGCTGTACACACTGGAGGAGCAGCTCGACACTGACCTCCTCCTCCATCACAGATTCCTTCACCATATCAAGCTGAATGACTCTGAGCTGGAGGATCAACTCCAGAGCTTGGTGAGCTTTCTAGTTTATGCTTCAAATTCCATTTATTGTCTTCACTAATTATTATTATTATTTAATTATGATTATTGGTAGCAATGGTAGTACTTGGGGTAGTGGCAAACCCAGAGAGGTCATACAGTGCCTGAAGATTGGGAGGTAAGAAGATTTTGTTTGAATTATTAAGCCACAGGGTTAGTAACCCAGATAATTCAGTGAAGTTGGGATGTTAGCAAGGATTGTCTGTTTTATTTCCATTGGAGTTCTATAATCTGCTTCAGGAAAGTTACTATATATTATGCACAAAAATTGGAAGCACATTTTCGTTGCATTCACTGGGAAGTTACACCAAAGATAGTCTTTGTGTTGCCTTGTAACTCAAACAGCTTGACTTGCTTAGCTGCCTATATTGTTATAAACCTCTCTGCAGTACTGGTACCATAGGGAGGCAATGGGGGGGATGACCCCCCCCAAATTCCCTCAGGCCCACCCAAATAAAAACAGTAAAAATGCTGCTTCAAGACAAGTCCCCTATACCCCCTCTGTCAACCTGATTTCTACACCCTAAGCTCCTCTTGTATAAAATGTCTGGGGCTGTGTCTTTCTGTATGGATCACAATTCTTGGGAAATGGCACATTATTACATAATTATGTGTGATTGAAGGAATTGGAGAGTAGATCCAGTTCATTGAGTCTAGTCCTTCACTAACATCTAGGCACATCCCTCTTGAAGGTAGCATTTTACCTTTACCTTTGATATACCTTTGAAGAATTTCGAGAGTATATCTACTCTGAGCCTGGCCATGGGCCAGGCTTGTCTGGTGCTTGCCTGGTCAACCAGGCTGTTGCTGCTGGAGGCCCACTGCCCCACATATCCATCACAGCCTGGTTGATCTGGCACCTGGCGAAGATACTTTTCTAGTTTCCTCTTGAAGGCTTCTACACTTGTTCCAGCAGTGTTTCTGATATCTTCTGGTAAGATGTTGAAAAGTCTGGGACCCCACATGTTGATACAGTGTTCCCTTATTGTCCCCACCGCACCCCTGCTCCTCACTGGGTTTATTTTACACTTCCTCCCATATCTCTCACTCCAGTATGTTGTTATGGCAGTGTGCAGATTTGGGACCAAGCCCTCGAGTACCTTCCAGGTATATATTATCATGTACCTCTCTCTCCTTCGCTCCAATGAGTACATGTTCAAGACTTGCAGGCGTTCCCAGTAGTTTAGGTGCTTTACTGGCTCAATGTGAACCATAAACGATCTCTGTATTTGTTCCAGCTCCGATATTTCTCCTGCCTTGAACAGGGCCGTCATCACTGAGCAATATTCTAAGTGAGGGAGCACTAGCGATTTGAAGAGTGTCACCATCGGCATTATTTCCCTTGTTTTGAAAGTTCTCAATACCCACCCAGTCATCTTCCTGGCTGTCATGATCTTTGTCTTGTTATGGTCTTTAAAAGAAAGGTCCGCTGACATAATTATTCCTAGGTCTTTTACGTGTTCCTTACGTTCTATTTGGTGACCCTCTTGAGTTTTGTTTATGGTGTTCCTTTTGAGCTCTTCATTCTTTCCATACCTAAGCAGCTGGAACTTATCACCATTGAATATCATGTTGTTTTCCACTGCCCACTGAAAAACCCTGTTTATGTCTTCCTGTACTTTTTCAGTGTCCTCTACCGTACTGACTTTCATGCTTATTTTAGTGTCATCTGCAAATGATGATACAAAAGTGTGCTGGGTGTTTTTGTCTATGTCTGCTATGAGGATGAGGAACAGCAGAGGTGCCAGGACAGTGCCTTGGGGCACTGAGCTTTTGACCTCACTGATGCTGGATCTTGCCCTGTTCACTACTACTTTTTGTGTTCAAACGCCTTTGCAAAATCTGTGTAAATCACATCTGCGTTTTGGTTGTCTTCCAGTGCCTCCGTAATTCTGTCATAATGGTTCAGCAGCTGTGACAGACATGATCGTCCTGTTATTGGTATTTGAGCCATTCTAATACCACGAGAAATACTGTACTCATTCTAGTACCACGAGAAATACTGTACTCATTCTAGTACCACGAGAAATACTGTACTCATTCTAGTACGAGAAATGCTGTACTCATTCTAGTACCATGAGAAATACTGTACTCATTCTAGTACCACGAGAAATACTGTACTCATTCTAGTACGAGAAATGCTGTACTCATTCTAGTACCACGAGAAATACTGTACTCATTCTAGTACCACGAGAAATAATGTACTCATTCTAGTACCACGAGAAATACTGTACTCTTGTGGAGTACATGTCATTGTCATTCTAGTACCACAAGAAATACTGTACTCTTGTAGATCGTATGTCATGGTCATTCTAGCATGAGTGGTATTCTTGAAGATCAAGTGCCACAGGATTATTACTCCGATCCACAAAGGAAGTAATCCTACTGATTTAAACAACTATAGACCTATATCAAACTTTCCCCTTCTATCCAGAATCTTTGAAAAATTAAGTCACAAGCAAGTTTACTCCTACTTAGTATCCCACAACATACTTAACCCTTACCAGTTTGGATTTAGGCTAAGCAAAAGTACAAATGATGCAATTATACATGTGCTTGAACTTCTGTATGACTCGAAAAAAAGGAAATTCCACTGGGTCTCTTCATAGACCTATGGAAAGCATTTGATACAGTCGACCACGATCTCTTGCACCTAATACTTGAACATTATGGGGTCAGAGGACACTCACTAGATTACCTAAAATCATAGCAATAGTCACCAGTATGTATACACAAATGATTTTGCCTCCACCACACAACCTGTTCTTGTTGGAGTCCCCAGGGTAGTGTCCTTGGACCACTATTCCTTCTCATTTATATCATTGACCTCCCCAATGCTTCTAAACTACTTAAACCTGTTCTTTTTGAAGATGACACTACATATGTCTTCTCTCACCCAAACCAAACCATACTTAGAAACACTGTAAATGATGATCTGCTAAAAATATCCACTTGGATGACGACCAACAAACTTACTCTCAATATTGACAAAACCTACTTCATACTATTTGGAAGCAGAGCTGCAAATATTCAACTAAACATATTGATAAATGGTTCCCCCATTTCAAGGCACTGACAGCAAATTTCTAGGGCTCCACATTGACTGCTGTCTTAATTTTCAGATCCACATACAGCATATTTCCATAAAAATCTCCAATACAGTAGGCATTCTTTCAAAGATATGGTACTATGTACCCCAAACAGCACTTCTTGCTCTTTACCACTCTTTCATCTACCCTTACCTCACCTATGGTATTTGTGTATGGGGTTCAACCACAGCAAATCACCTTAAACCTTTAATAATCCAGCAAAAAGCTGCTGTGAGATTGATTACTAACTCCTGCGCCAAGCAACACACCCCACCACTATTTAAGAGCTTGAACCTACTTAACATACAAAATACTAACTCATATTATTGTGCCTACTACATACACAGAACATTATTCTTCAATATTAACACTCTTCTCAAACTCCTCGAGAACTACAACAGAACACGCTTGCATGACACAAGACACAAAACACTCTGATAGCCCTCATGCCCATCTCTCTCTATGTAATAATGCTATGCACATAAAGGGCCCTAAGATCTGGAATTCATTGCCTGAACATACAAAAGGGCCCTGCCTGCACACCATTTCAAGGCTCTGCTTAGAAATCACATCATCTCCCAAAATTAACCACACAAACACTGTATATTATTGCCACCAACAACTCAAAAATTCCTAAATATTTTAAAATTATTTCAAAATTTAATTGGTTCCAATCTCATTATGTAAAATGTGCCAAAATATAATGCTGTAACCTGTTAATCAATTCATCTCAATTATAAATTCAATTGTTGGTAAACCACTAACTACCTCTGTTGAAATATATAAAAACTGATGTTCAATTCAAACCAGCTATGTTATATATACCTAGTATTAAGCAGTCTGTTAGACATTAGGTTTAGTCTACCCAAAATGCCTGGGTATGATAGTGGCTTTCTTTGTACTTACCAAATCAAAATTCTAATTACACGTTGTAAACTATGCAAAGGAATAAAATCCTTAATCCTTATTTGTGCCTAAATATCCTTTCAAAAGTGAATGTGTTTTGATGCCAGTGAAAAGCTCCTGATCCACAGATCTGGATTTAACATCCACTTGGATTAAACCTAATTGCCTTCCATTCCAGAGTAGATGTATGACCCCAACAGGCATAGGGGCTCTCCATGAGTATAATACTGTAAGTGAGTAAATATATGTTTTAATGGGTTAATAAAGTGAAGCTGGCATGCTGTAAATACTGTCAACCATCAGTGAGTGGCTGATAATGGTGATTGTAGTGGATAAAAATGAAATTGTATTAATGTTGGTAGAAGTACTGACAATATGTTAAGTAAAAGGACACAAATGCAACTAATGCAACATGTTAGTGTGGCAACGTTTTGCTCCTTTCAAGCCGTAGTGGCTTGACAAAGCTCCTGGAGAGCAAAACGTTGCCACAATAAAATATCGCATTAGTTTCATTTATGTCCTTTTACTGAAGATGAAATTGTGGAGCTGGTGATTTTTTCCAATTTTTCAATAGTCTGTTAAATTGAGGTTTATTAAATTGTGATGTACTACCTTAGTGATTGTTTTATGTGAAGCTGGTCAGTATCTTTACACTCTAAGGCTGCTTATCACTCTTTCTCTCTTCCTTTTTTTTTCTTTCTCCCTTCCCTTTATCCCCCTCCCTATCTGTCCCCCTCCCTCTCCCCCTCTTTCCCTGGCAAACAAACTATATATATATTGCACTGCAGGAATCTGAGGAGATGAGCCGGGAGGAGATGGTAGAGGATTTTGTGAAGAAAGCTGCAGAGTTTCACAACCAGGTGAGGCTGGATAATCCACAGATTCCCAACAGGAAGAAAGCCATCAAGCAGGAGCACCAGCATCTCCACCTGGAGGAGACCAGACTTCTCTGTGGTCAGTTAACTTGTGTATTACCAGTGCTTAGTTAAGCTCAAGGTAGTTTAATATCCTTATTATACACTCCATACCAATCCTGTGGGTGGTAGTGAAAAGATTACAGAAGTACATAATGGGTTCATGAGTTGGTGCACAAAGTTTTGATAGCTGAACAAGCTACAGTGGTAAGGAATTAGTTAGAATTGTAATGGGTTATTTTTGCAGACGTGAATTAGGTCAACCAATAGAAAAAAAGTTTAGGTGGTAATTCACTCTTTACACTGGGCAAAGTCGGGTATTTTTCCAGAATTGTTGGTTATATACCACTGTGGATAAAATACTTTGACATTTCTTGAACATTTCTGAGTGAGTTGCCCCTGAATTCAGCAGTAGAAGTGCTGAATTCAGAGAAAGACCTGAAACCCCCCAAAATTACATCAGCTACCCAAGCCCCTGAATAAAAATAATAATGTTAATAATACTGCTTTAAGACAAGTCCCCTATCATCCTCTTCCAACCAGATTGCCACCCCTATGCCAATCCTGTATAAAACTTCTGTTGCTGGCCCTGAGTAGGAAGTTCATAGCTCAGTGGCAAAAGATTTTATTTGGCTTATTAACCACAATGGTTAGTAACCCAGGATAATCCAATAAAGCTTCTGTCTAGCCTGTTTCCACTGGAGTCCTTTGATCCTCTTTCCCAGGACGTAACCCACAACAGTCAGGTAACATCTATGTACAGGTCCCCTTGCTTTATGCAAATTCACTGTATGCATATTTTCTTATTATGTGATGTTTTGTTTCTGTTGATAATTCCGTATACTGTACACACTTTATGGTCACAGTATGCTGTTTGGCACTGTTCACAAAACACTGAAGATTCTTAATATACCTACTTACTGCTGGGTGAACAGAGGCAATTAGTGTAAAGAAATATGTATGCCTAGAATCACTCTTGGGTCCTTCCTGTACAAGCCAAAGCACTACAGCTTGAGCCTTTGCCTCACACGTGAAGGGCCTGAGCTCAGTCCTGGGATGAGTGGAGATGTGGGCAGGTTTACTTACATCTTTCCCTGTTATCCAAGAAGTAAATTCTGTGTATACTACAAAAAATAACATGTATTACCTGGAGTGTACCTGGAGAGGGGTTTCAGGAATCAACACCCTCATGGCCTGGTCTGAGACCAGGCCTTTTGGTGATCAGGGTCTGATTAACCAGGCTGTTACTGCTGGCTGTACACAAACCGACATACAAACCACAACCCGGCTGGTCAGGTACTGACTTTAGGTGCCTGTCCAACTCAAATTCAATTTAGGTGCCTGTAACTCAGATTCAAAATAAAATTTTGAATTTGAGTTACTTGAGTGTAAGCCAACTATTGTGGGTGATATTCTGGAGAGGGAGGGGGGTGGTAGTACGCTATAGATAAGTACAGGAGGGCCCTGCTTGTACAGCTCTAAGGTTCGTGACCCCAAACAATAAATGAAAATTGCCAGCAAGTGGAAAAGAGTCATTGTTTCATTGTCATATGCATCTAAAATGCCTGCTAACATGTTTATACTATCACATATTAAATCCTCAGTATAGCTAGGCATAAAAAAAGATAAAAACAGTAAAATAAATACACAGTACATACAGTACTTATCGTAAAATATGGCGTGGGTTGTCCTTCCCTTACGCAGTGGTTGTATGAAAACAACAGTAATAGCAGAAGAGCGGTAAAAGCACCAAACATAATGAACGATGGCTCAGTTGAAAGCGAACAAAAATCTGGAACACCAAATAGAGGGTGCTGTATATACAGGGCCCTCCTGCATGGGCTTTGCAATACGCTGAGGTAGGACAATGTTTTGCCCTTGTATTTGACAGGGTTAAAAAAAAAGTTTACAAATCATGTCTATGGTACATCCAACAAAATAAGCAGACTCTTGGATGTCACCACTGCCTGGCTCCAGCTGGGTTACAAGCATCTTTGGCAGGTTAAATCACCTCCACCAGATGTAGACCAAATGAAATGTAAACTTGCCAGATGGACTATTGTCACACCTTGAGTCATTATGTACTGGAATGTGATCAGATTAATGAAATCAGAGACAACTCACTCAGAAATGTTCAAGAAATGTCAGAGTATTTTATCCACAGTGGTATATTACAAACCATTCTGGAAAAATACCCTGCCTGTGCTCATTGTAAATAATGTATTACCACAGATTTTTTTTTTTTTTTGCAGCCCAGCCCAGCCCCTGGACCCATTATGTACCTCTGTAATGTTTTTAACTATGACCAACAGGATGAGTATGGGGTGCATAATAAAGATGTTAAACTGATTAACACTGAAAAGCATGTGAAAATGACACATCCAATAATTAAGGTGCTTCATATGATCCTTTGCCTACCAGGAGCATTCTCAATCCAATACATTGACAAAGGGCTTTATCATTCCACTGGATTGATAGTCCTGTTGGGTTCAACATTTCCTTATTAAATGTCTTAATTACCACATGTCTTTTAACACACTGGCTGCCTCCCACTGAGGTGGGGTGTCTCAAGAAAGAGGAAACACATTCACCATTATTAATTAAATCACTGGCTTTTTAGGTATGTGCTGACATTACAATTCAGATAGTCCCCCAAATGCAACATCCAGGGTTAAAAAAAAAAATAGTTAAAATGTGAAAGGAAGCAGAGATAGTGAGAGGATTTGTGGGGACAGGTGATAATGGTGGGAGGATTACATATTTTATTCTTTCTACATCACTGAATCAGTGACTGAGAAATGAGGAATCAGGTTTGATCCACGGGTAGAGCAGCTCCAGTTCCTTATAATAATAATAATAATAATAATAATAAAAAACTTCATTTCTATAAGTACATGTACAAGGTATACAGGCCTAGCTGACAGCAATGACACTACTATGCAGAGCATTTCGGGCAAATTAGGTCAGTTTTGTCCCCTGGATGTAACCCACACCAGTCAACTAACACCCAGGTACTTATTTTACTGATTGGTAAACATGGACTAATGTTCCCACCTGTACTGGGGATCGACCCCGAGACATCAGGGTATGACCTGAGTGCACTACCAGTTGAGCTACAGGACACCTCAGGAGACCTCAGTGGCATCAAAATATCCCTTTTAAAGACATGGTGGGAAGGATGCATATTTAAAATAGCTACAACAGAATGCAGTCACAATACAAGGCATAAGGCACTATTCGACATACCTCGTGTCAGTCTCACACCATGCAAAAATGCAGTGCACATAAAGGGCCCGAAGAAATTGAATTCACTGCCTGAACTGATAAAAGATCCCCTGACTACATATAAATTTAGGACTTTGCTTAAAAATCAATTCATCTCTCAATACTAACCAACTTCTAATCAGTTTGGAGCAACTGGGCTCTGGTGGCCTGGTGGTTAACGCTTTCGCTTCACACGGCGAGGGCCTGGGTTCGATTCCCAGCCAGAGTAGAAACATTGGACGTGTTTCTTTCCACCTGTTGTCTGTTTCCCATCAGTAAAATGGGTACCTGGGTGTCAGTCGACTGGTGTGGGTCGCATCCTGGGACACTGACCTAATTTGCCCGAAATGCGGAGCATAACAAGGGACTTTCTATATAGTAGTATGTCATTGTTGTCAGCTAGGACTGTATACCTTGTACATGTACTTGTAGTAAATAAAGATATATTATTATTATTATTATTAACTCTCCCAAATATTATATTAAATGACCTCTAGGCTGTTAAACATCTGCCGATCTATAAAATATTACTGCTTGAACCATTAATTGTACGTAATATTGTTTTTATTATGTGCAACTTCATGATTATTATTCTTATAAACCTCTACCTTGACTACCTCGCATTAGTATTAAGATTAAATAAAGATTTAATAAAAAGTTAACCACTCTTATCTTGTCTAGATTTATGTAGTTATTATGTACTAGAGTTAGTCTGCCCAAAATGCCCCGGCATGATAGTGGCATTCTTTGTACTCAGCAAACCAAAATTGTAATTACACATTGTAACCTTTACGAAGAAATATAATCTTCATTCTTTATTCTTAACCCTTTCAGGGTTTGTGCCGTAGTTCTATGGCCTTGAGTTGAGGGTCCAAACCGTAGGTCTACACTATGAGCTCCACTCACTGATAAGCTGTGAGTGGTAAATTTGGGCCTAGATATGAGAGAATACATCTATGTGGTATGTGTGCACCACATAAAACAAATCCTGCAGCACACAGTGCATGATGAGAAAAAAAACAGAGACCGTAATTTTCGATTAAAACAGCGACTGCAGTGTTTTTTGTATGTTTTTTATAGTTGTATTTGCGATCTCTTGGTCTCATTTGATAGAATGGAAGATATATTACAGAAATAGAGATGATTTTGATTGGTTTTAATACTGGAAATGGCTTGAAACTGAGCTCAATGTAGCTGAAATGTTAAATTTTTGCCGATGTTCAAGAGTAAACAAATGACCTCAAACGTCTAATACATGCCAGCTGGTGGGTCTAATATATGTTCACAATTGTGGTGATGTTATTTATACAAGTTTTACAATATTGCATAACAGTAAATCTTCTATTTTTTGGTTTGAATGAAAATTCATTATGGGAATAAAAAATCAAAATGGAATTCATTTGTAAAGCCTGGAAACGTAACTACTGAACAGAGGAAATGGTAGTTTAGTGCCAGGAATGCCTGCATTGTTTATTCTGGACCCTATTTTGAAATTGGAATACACCTACCATCCGACTTACAACCTGCTCGACATACGACCACTCGACTTACGACCGTGTTTTTTATGCCAAATTTTTGGGAAATAAACAACTATTTGTGTTGCACAGTGTTTATCTTAAACCTTACAGTATAAAATACAGTACTAACAGCATAAAAAGTAAAGTAAAACATGAAATACCAAAATAAAACAATAAGTCATTACAAAAATGTGATGTTGATATTCAGTAGTAAAGTTCAACTTATGTCCATTTCGACTTACGACCGGTTTCTCGGAACTGAACTCGGTCGTAAGTTGGATGGTAGGTGTATTTTGAACTTTGCGTTAAATTGGCCAAATTACCAATTTCCGATCACTTTATTTTGTAGTTGAAACAGTTGACTTGGCGATTTCTTGTGCTTAGTCGATAGAATAAAAGTAATGCTAGTGAAATAGCTAAGAATTTGGTTGACGGAATAATATAATGGCCTAAAATGGGAGTCAAAGTCAAAAAATTGCCGATGCGTAAATATCGCTGACACATCAAAATTCGTGAGAGTATAATTTCATCAATTTTCCATCAAATTTTGCACTTTTTGTTTTATTACCTTCAGAAAAAGATTCTCTGCCATTTCATCAGAAAAAATAACAAAACTTTTTTTTGAAAATTCTTGGATCCTGGTGCACACTTTGAAATTTGGCCTCTTGACCCTGAAAGGGTTAAAAAAGAATTAAGCAGTTATTTAATTCAAGTTGCTAATTTTTTTTTCCAGAAATCAAAGTGCTGGAGACAACAAGAAAGAGGAAGAGTCACTTGAGAAAACAAAGCAGGAGCTGCAACCTCTCATACATGAGCTACAGAGATTTGTGAATGACTGGGAGCCAGACCTCAGGAACCAGCTCATGTTAGCTCATCATGAGAGGGACCAACTCATGGACCCCAACAGTCAACCAATAAAACGGTAGTAGTAATATAATGATGGGGAAGAGCTAAATTTCAAAGGGTCATGCAACATCTGGGAAATGGGAGGTAATCAGGTTTGATTCATGGAAGAGAGAGAGTAGTTTCAATTAATTGGATCATCAGCTTACAGAAATTCCCTTGAAAGATAGCAACTTGTTAACTCTCCCTCTTTTTTTTTTTTACACAGGGTTTGACAAATTCAAATTCAATTCAATTCAAAGTTTATTCTCTACAAGGATTACAATGCTTAGTTTACAGAATTTGGTTATTGTGTGGTTTACATGTAGTAAAATAATAATTACAGAGTGTACCACTAGAACACCTAGCATGGCTAGGCATTTCGGGCAGACTTAGTTTAATTCTTAATTTTAAAATATTACAAATTATGAGGTAAGTTGGTATTATGGCTAAGTGACTAAATACTAGTTTGTGAGTTTAGCAGTGTGAATGCTTTTGATTTGGCACAGTATTGGAGTATCACAGGATTCATTATTTTAAGATTGAGATTAATATTTCTGTTTATGGTCAAATGGGTGAGTGAGTGTAAGTGTGAACCGTCAGGTGGTATTCGTGTAGTTAGTTGACGGGGTGTATCAGGGAGATAAGATGTTTTCTAAAGGTAGTTTTGAAGGTGATGAATGTGTCTGCAGTTCTAGAGTTCTCAGGTAGGGTGTTCCAGATTTTAGGGCCTTTGACATACATTGAATTTTTGTAAAGGTTTAGTCGGACACGGGGAATGTCGTAGAGATGTTTGTGTCTGTGTTATGCCTGTGGGTTCTGTCACAACTATCAAGAAAGCATTTTAGGTCAAGGTTGATATTGGAGTTTAAGGTCTTGTAGATGTAGATTGCACAGTAGTAAGTGTGGATGTACTGAACAGGGAGTAAGTTTAGATCTATGAAGAGTGGGGGGGTGTGTTGCCAGGGATGGGATTTGGTGATTATTCTTACTGCAGCTTTTTGTTGGGTTATTATTGGCTTTAGGTGTGTTGCTGCAGTTGATCCCCAAGCACAAATAGCATAGGTGAGGTATGGATAAATAAGTGAGTGGTATAGTGTGAGAAGGGCATTTTGCGGCACGTAGTATCGTATCTTGGAGAGGATCCCAACCGTTTTGGATACTTTTTTGGTTATGTGTTGGATATGGGTGCTGAAATTCAGGTTGTTGTCAAGGTATAGGCCTAGGAATTTGCCCTCATTATGTCTGGTAATTAGAGTGTTGTCGATCTTATTGTTAATTTGTGCATCTCCTGCTCTGCTACCAAACATAATATAGTAGCTTTTGTCAGTGTTAAGCGTAAGTTTATTGGCTGTCATCCAAGTCGATATTTTGATCAGCTCCTCGTTAACAATGGTGTTGAGGGTGGCAAGATTAGGGTGAGAGATGACATAAGTCGTGTCGTCAGCAAAGAGAATGGGTTTCAGGTGTTTGGATACGTTTGGAAGATCATTGATGTATATGAGGAAGAGCAGGGGACCAAGGACACTTCTCTGCGGAACTCCAGTATCAAGTGGCCGTGTTGTTGATGCTGTGTTTTTAATGGTGACATACTGATACCTATTAGTAAGGTAAGATTTGAAATAAGCAAGCGCATGACCTCTTATACCGTAATGGTCAAGTTTGTGGAGTAGGATGTCGTGGTCTACTGTGTCAAAAGCTTTTCTTAGGTCAATAAAAATTCCTAGTGGATATTCCTTATTTTCCAATGCGTGTAAAAGCAGATCTAGCATTTTTGATTGCATCATTAGTGCTTTTATTTTTCCTGAATCCAAATTGGCAGGGGTTGAGTATGTTTTGTGCCGTTATAAATGAATATAGTCTCCTGTGCACGAGTTTCTCAAAGATTTTGGATAGCAATGGTAAGTTTGATATTGGCCTATAGTTGTTTAAGTCTGTGGGGTCACCACCTTTATGTTTTGGTGTAACCCTTGCCATCTTGAGTAGTTTTGGGAAGGTGCTAGTTTCTAGTGACTTGTTAAAAAGTAATGAAATAGCATGCGAAAGGACATGGGCCGCCGCTCGCTTGTACAGTAATGGTGGGACATGAGACAGATTCCCTGAGTTATTTTTAAGTGACTTTATAATCTCGGTGGCTTCCGTGGGCTCAGTTGGTGCAAGATAGAAGGAATTTGGGAAATTCCCATCTAAGTAATTCCCTGGCATGGGCAATGGTATGTGGGAATTTATTAGCGAGATTAGATCCTATGGTTGAGAAGAAGTCGTTTATCTTGTTAGCTGTGTCAGTGGGATGTAGTGGTGTTTCATTAGGTTTAGTTAGGACAACATTCTTGTTTTTTTTCAGTTTGTGGGTCCCTAGAATCTGAGAGAGTGTTTTCCAGGTCTTTTTTATATCTCCTCTAGTGTCTGTGAATCTACTGGAGTAGTATAGTTGTTTGGCTTTCTTTATCACTTTGGTGAGAACTGATGAATAGTGTTTAAGAATATCTTTGTGTATTAAGCCCTGTCTATATTGCTTTTCATATTGGTATTTCTTGTCAATGGATTTCAGAATGGTGCTGGTTAGCCATGGGCAATCAAGTCGTTTGTTTGTGATCTGTTTCGTTTTTATAGGACAATGTTTGCTGTAGGTTAGGTTGAACAAGGTTAGGTTAAGGATCCCTAGCTTTACTGACAAGCTATTTACAGGTTAAGGATTCCTAACTTTATTGACAAGCCAAGAGCTGTTACCTACATCAGCTCATTTGAAAGCATTTTTATTGTTATGATGGTGAAAGTTTTTCTTTTTTGGGCCACCCTGCCTTGGTGGGAATCGGCCAGTGTGATAATAAAAAATAATAAAATAACATACAAGTAGGGAACAGGATGAAGTTGGAGCCATCTGTGGGCCATCATTTTCATTTGATCAACTGACTTTATCTCGTTGACATCATTATGCTGTACGAATGTGTTCCATACTCGAGTCATCCCCCCCTCCCCCCACCCTCTCTCTTCTCTCTCTCTCTCTCTCTTTCTTTTTAAAATTTAGTTTTTTCTTTTTTGTTCTTTGTTATATTCATGGTGAAAGTGCTGAACCCACAAGAGTTAGTGCCTGGGGAATGGGTGGTAATCAGGTTTGACTTGGAAAAGTGGAGGGTAGCTCCAGTCATCAAATCAAGAGTCCTTACCTGGAGAGAGTTCCGGGGGTCAACGCCCCCGTGGCCCGGTCTGTGACCAGGCCTCCTGGTGGATCAGAGCCTGATCAACCAGGCTGTTGCTGCTGGCTGCACGCAAACCAACGTACGAGCCACAGCCCGGCTGGTCAGGAAACGACTTTAGGTGCTTGTCCAGTGCCAGCTTGAAGACTGCCAGGGGTCTGTTGGTAATCCCCCTTATGTATGCTGGGAGGCAGTTGAACAGTCTCGGGCCCCTGACACTTATTGTATGGACTCTTAACGTGCTAGTGACACCCCTGCTTTTCATTGGGGGGATGTTGCATCGTCTGCCAAGTCTTTTGCTTTCGTAGTGAGTGATTTTCGTGTGCAAGTTCGGTACTAGTCCCTCTAGGATTTTCCAGGTGTATATAATCATGTATCTCTCCCGCCTGCATTCCAGGGAATACAGTTTTAGGAACCTCAAGCGCTCCCAGTAATTGAGGTGTTTTATCTCCGTTATGCGCGCCGTGAAGGTTCTCTGTACATTTTCTAGGTCAGCAATTTCACCTGCCTTGAAAGGTGCTGTTAGTGTGCAGCAATATTCCAGCCTAGATAGAACAAGTGACCTGAAGAGTGTCATCATGGGCTTGGCCTCCCTAGTTTTGAAGGTTCTCATTATCCATCCTGTCATTTTTCTAGCAGATGCGATTGATACAATGTTATGGTCCTTGAAGGTGAGATCCTCCGACATGATCACTCCCAGGTCTTTGACATTGGTGTTTTGCTCTATTTTGTGGCCAGAATTTGTTTTGTACTCTGATGAAGATTTAATTTCCTCGTGTTTACCATATCTGAGTACGTAATTGAAATTTCTCATCATTGAACTTCATATTGTTTTCTGCAGCCCACTGAAAGATTCGGTAGATGTCCGCCTGGAGCCTTGCAGTGTCTGCAATGGAAGACACTGTCATGCAGATTCAGGTGTCATCTGCAAAGGAAGACACGGTGCTGTGGCTGACATCCTTGTCTATGTCGGATATGAGGATGAGGAACAAGATGGGAGCGAGTACTGTGCCTTGTGGAACAGAGCTTTTCACCGTAGCAGCCTCGGACTTTACTCTGTTGACGACTACTCTGTGTTCTGTTAATGAGGAAATTATAGATCCATTGACCGACTTTTCCTGTTATTCCTTTAGCACGCATTTTGTGCGCTATTATGCCATGGTCACACTTGTCGAAGGCTTTTGCAAAGTCTGTATATATTACATCTGCATTCTTTTTGTCTTCTAGTGCATTTAGGACCTTGTCGTAGTGATCCAATAGTTGAAACAGACAGGAGCGACCTGTTCTAAACCCATGTTGCCCTGGGTTGTGTAACTGATGGGTTTCTAGATGGGTGGTGATCTTGCTTCTTAGGACTCTTTCAAAGATTTTTATGATATGGGATGTTAGTGCTATCGGTCTGTAGTTCTTTGCTGTTGCTTTACTGCCCCCTTTGTGGAGTGGGGCTATGTCTGTTGTTTTTAGTAACTGTGGGACGACCCCCGTGTCCATGCTCCCTCTCCATAGGATGGAAAAGGCTCGAGATAGTGGCTTCTTGCAGTTCTTGACAAACACGGAGTTCCATGAGTCTGGCCCTGGGGCAGAGTGCATGGGCATGCCATTTATCGCCTGTTCGAAGTCATTTGGCATCAGGATAACATCGGATAGGCTTGTGTTAACCAACAATAAAAAAATCAGTATTATGGATGGAACAGTTCAAAAGTAATCCAAATTTTAGAGAGGAAACTAGATATTTTGGGTGTGATTTGATAATGATCCAGGACTAACTGAAGCATCATTTAAAAGTTTCATTTTAAAACTATGGGCTATTTGTGAATCAGTCCTTTGCTAGCATGAAGATAGT